GATCAATGGCCATGAGTACCACATGAGAATGGGTGCACCAGGGTGCAGGGGAGGCATCCCCCCCTCTGTCCCCTTCTGGCTGCCTGTGCCTCAATTTTATTTCAAAATCTTAGACATTCACATTACTCACACTCTCATAACACATACATATAGGATCTTGGGGGTGGGCACGCTACACGGAATCCAAAAGACCATCAGGGTGTACACCTCACCCCTGGCGTCGTTGCCCACCTCTCAATTTTAAATACACGTAGACACTGAGGGCTATCAGGAGGGGCTGTGCGCTTACCTGCTGCTCTCTGGCAGGTAGCTCCATGCCCTCCTGGGTTTTAAATGCACCTTAGAACACACATGCATCAACACTACATATGAGCCTGGCGGAGGGAGGTTTGGAGTCTTCTCACATCCCCGTTCTCTGCGGCCTGCTGGAGCGGGGGGGCCAGGAGGAGGAGTTGGCCGTCCGACTGGGGTCTGGAGTGTGGGGCCTCCCTGCTGCTGCGGAGTCGGGGCGGTCTGCTTCTCCCCACCGCAGGGAAAAGGGTAACACCACCTGGGTCTGGGTGGAGTTTCCCCCTCCAGGGGCAAGGGTACCTAGACCCGGTTCTTAGAGTACGCTTGGGGAGTGTGATCGTGTGTACAGCGTCTCTTTATGTCTGTCTCCACGTTGGTTGAGTGTGGAGTAAGTGCATATGAGAGCATGAGGGTGGGAATGGATGTTTGTGTCTGTGTGTGCCTGTATGTCTGTGTCTATATGTCAGGTTGGGTATCAGTCGCCACCTCTCTGGAGACATCTCAGGCCCTCTAAGGTATGGAGGCCTATCTCCCCCCACCACCACTTCCCCTGCCAGTGGCGGACTCCCTCAGACATCGGTGCGTTGGTGGTTCTTTGTGTCCGGGGATGGGCGCCCAGGTACACACCGGCTCACTCCTTGGTGCCTCCTTATCGGGGCCTGGAGCCTGGGGCTCGCTCGGGCCACTTCAGGGGTGGGGTGGCCTCGGCCTGAGGCCTCAGGCCACTCTGGCACAGCTGGCTGCCGGCGGAGCTCACGGGCACGTCACTGCAACCCCCCCCTAGCTTCTGCTCCGCGGCTGCTGAGTGACCCCTCATCTGGGACTCTCCTCAGCTCTTACTGGGACAGTGGCGCGGCTGCCCCTCTGTTGGTCTTCCTTGGTCTCTTGTGTTCTGGGGGCCTCTGGATGTCTGGAGTCTTGATCTCCTCCATACCTGCTTCATGCCCTGGTGGACGGGGCAGTGGCCCCCCCACACCCTCTAGCAGATCATTACATGAAGGAACCTTTTAAAAACAAACGCGTCCATGCTCACAGGTGTACACACGGCTGCTCACACACACAAACTACACCCTTTTTGGCTCCTACCTCAAAGCACACTGTGCGCTGTCGATCTTAGGTGCTGCACAATAATGTTCAATATTTAGTATTTACTGTCATATTCCCATAGATCATTGTGATGTTGTTTATTCTATTGCTCTCATTTTCTTCTGCTTGTTTTCTTTTTTCATTCTCAACAGGTGATCCAGGTGATTGATGTGTTTGTTTTTTTTGTCTGCTTATTTAGTTGGTTTTTGTTTTTTATCCCTGTCCCTCTTCTCCGCTGTTTTTCTTTCCCTCTTTCTTTCTCCCTTCTCTTTTCCTCATTCAGTCTGTCCCGTATCTAGCAAGTGAAAATAAAAAATAAAATAAACAATAAAAGGTGAATCAAATAGACCATTACGGCAAGGCTGGGATGGTCAATTTGGTAAAGTAAGTCCGTTGGGCATCTTTCTTCGCCTTTAGACAATAATTCTGATGGCAAAAGAGCCAAAGAGGACAGGCAAAAAGAGAAAAAAAAAAACCAAAAAACATGCTAAACCCTGAGTTGGCCGTGATGCATCCATCGGAGTGTGAGTGTGTTTGTGAGGAGCAGCTCATGCTTGGATACAGATAAAAGGATGATTGTGAGCATGAAAGCGCCCGAGTGCTCAAATTAAGGAGAAAAGTGCTGTATGAGTACCAGCTCTTTAACCATCAATATTAAAAAATATTTATTTTTATTTTTTTAAGACATGGAGGAAGTATGTGCCCACTGTAGTGATGTGTGTGTAATTGGTGATCGTCCACTGTTGTGTAGTTGACAGGATTTAAAGAAGGAAGTTGGTCTGGTCATGCTGACATAGAAAGCACCGAGCACAGAGGGAATATTGTCCTAAGCTTAAAGGCTGTTGAGAACCATGTTCACATGATAAACACAGATGAGTCAATATTTAACAATCACAAGACAGAAAATAACTTCATGTATGGTCACACACACTTTTGCCCCAGAACATTGTGTCAGATAGTTTTTCCTTTGCTCACCTGACCACATGTGGGTCATAGGTCACTGTGGCAAAGGTGAAGGCACTCAGGCGTTGCTGAAACCTGCTGTCCTTTGCAAGAAGGCTGTAACTGTGTGAGAATGAGACAAATGAAAGAGACGCGTCACCAGACAAAGAGTCCGTATTGATGTTGTTTATTAATTTTGAAGATACTCTGCATTTAACTGCTATTAGAACAAGTTTAACTTTGCTTGGTTTGGTCTCCCAGTCTTCACTATCAGATTAAATTACAGAAACATGCATTGATTGTTTGACTTTGAGTTAGACTGATCGTTTTCCAGGAGCCAGCCAATTAGAGGGCTCCCGTGGCCCCGCCTGACCTCTTAAAAGAATGTTTGTTGCTGTTGCGTGTCAACGGTGCATTAGTGCATTGTGAAGGCAGAGCGGCAGTAAAAACTGCAGGATCCCTGCCACTGGATGCTCAGTGTCTCACCTGGCTGCTCTCTGTTACAGGTTAGTGGGTGAGAAACACGTTAAAACATGGAGAAACACACACGGGGATACGGAAATAGTGTGTGTCGTGTGTTGTTCTTGCATTATCCTGTTATTATTAACTGTTGTACAGTTAGCATTCACAGCTAAGCCTCTTCTTTTACAGGTTATTCCAGTTTAAGAGACTGGCTCATGTTATTGTCATGCATGTGCTGGGAAATGAAACACTGAGTAGTATTAGTGTAGGTGAAACAAGCGCTCTGCAATCAAAGGATGAGAAACTAGACTGAAGGTTTCCTTGTAATGTGGAAGCGTCTTCACCTTATAATATAAAGCACGCTAGAGTGACTGCTGTTGTGATTTGATGGTACATAAATTGAATTGAACTGAATTGGTGGGTGGTCTGCCAAAATAATAAAAAAGATTATTTAAAAATGCTAAATCCTTTTCTGTAATAATATTACTTGTAATTTAAGTTTCTGAAATTGATTGAACTCTTTCTGCATATGTGCAGTCGGGGAAAGAAGTATCCGACCCCTTGTTGAATTCATAATTTTGACCACGTGCAAAGAATTGAGCACTCTATAATTTCAATGTTTTTTTTCTTGGTCTTAAAAGAGAAACAATAGCATTAACATTTAACAGTGATGTATTTTGTTATGCTGTTTATGTAGAGTAACAGAATGTGACTGTGAGAGAGGGCACAGCTGATACAGGAACCTGAACTCTTGAGGTACATTTCAACTCAAGCTGTGCTTTAAGTAGGATTGTTTTCTCACACTTCAGTTCAGTCTTACAGACAGTTTTTCTTTTGTCCTGCTAATGAGAATGCAGCAACTTTCATTTTAAGAGCTGAGAGAGGAGAAGTCCAAATCGTGGGTCTGCCTTGGTGTTGCTGTGAGAAGTGCTGTCTGTGTTTTCTAGAGTCTAGACTAGGGGTGGGCAACTTCAGGCCTCAAGCAACAGTGTCCTGCAGGTTTTAGATCTCACCCTGGGTCAACACACCTGAATTAATTGATTAGTTCATTACTAGGCCTCTGGAGGACTTCAACACATGTTGAGGAGGCCATTTAGCCATTTGAATCAGCTGTATTTGACCAAGGACACTGGCCCTCGAGGCCTGGAGTTGCCCACCGCTGGTCTGGACCATAAGGTCATCGTCTTCATCTGTTCTCACATGAAGATGTCACACTTTCCAGTCTGTTTATTCTTCAACAGCTTTGCAGTCACAGTCTGTGCTGGGAGACTGTGTGGACTAAGAAATGTGGACCCAAACGCAGACAAAATGAAGCGCTTTTGTTATAGCTGATGGAAAAATTACAAAAATAAAGGGCAAAGCAAACAATACAAAAATAAAGAATAACCTAAATTGGCTAAACTAGAATTGAACATGAAAACCCTGGACATGCTTAACACGAATACCTGAAACATGGAACGCAGACGACCTGACCCCGACTGACAGAAAACTAACACACTAAATACACAGAGAGGTGTATTTAGTGTGGAAACACATGAATGAACATGGGAGCAAAACTAAACACACTGAACAGGGAACGCACAATAATAAAACAGGAAACATAGAGAGATGTAGGCTGGGACACACGAGCCTGACATGAGGGTCGAGAGAGGGAGAGGGTGGGAGCGGGGGCAATAACTGGGATGAGGGAGGCTTAACTGTGTTTTTGTTGTAATGCTGAGAACTCCTCCAACTATTAAACAACAACACTGGCACAGAATGGGACGAATACATCTGATGCCTGGGAGAATCTGTTAAATATATGATATACGATCCAATTGCACTGTAACGTGAGTCACAGCTGAACGAGATCGCCTGCTATTACTGTACGGGAAAAGCAGCAGTCTTTCATTTGGTTTCTGTACTTAACAGTAAAGAGATGTTGCACGCTTCAGTGCACAGGATTATTATTAACAAACAAACAGCCCTTACATTAGACCAAAGTCTTTCAGGTCCGGATAAACATCAGCCACTGCTGTCTGTGTGTGTCGGCTTGAAGATTTGGTTATAATCAGCAGCCAATATCTGACTTCTGTCTAAATCTGCGACTCTCCACCATTTGACCCTAGAACTGAAGAAGCTTCTCGGATGAAGGTGAAACGTCTTCAAGCAACTTAAAGAAGTCCTGATGCTTTTCTTTCCAAGCTCCTTAGACTACGATGACCTGGATGACTGAGAACCTTCACAGACATACAGCCCTTCTCAGAGTCTCCAGTGACATTTTGATGCAAAATGATGCAGGAAAATGTTCTGTTCTCCTGATGTTGGTAGAGTTGACCATCGAATTCTGCTTGAAAGGCTGAAACATTGGGTCGGTGTATCTGGATCTGCCTTGGAGTGGTTCTCCTCATATCTATATGAACGATACTTTTCTGTGACAGTTTCTAAATACCGGTCATCTTCCACTTCTAAGCTTTTACTTTTATTTCAGGTTTGTGGGTCAAGGACCTAGAGGCTTCAGAGGGGCTTTTAATGAATTTAGGGGTCCTAGAGGAACCCTTTTGAGGGAGGAGGTGCTACGTCCCTCTGTAGCCCCTAATCATCTCAATGTGTTCAGCTGGTGCTAATTGGCCACACCTAGTCAGGTGTGGATAAAAGCATACCTGAGGCAAGCTTCCCAGGGAGCTCGCTTGTCTTTGCCTTGGTGGCACCAGCCATTTTAGCCGACCTGGTATTCCATTCTAAGATAATACCTCTTCTCACCTATACTCTGGTATTCGTCTCCTTTTTTATGTTGCGGCTTTTGAGCCAGGTCGTAACATAACCTATGGTGCGCCACATGGTTCTGTGCTGGGGCCTTTATTGTTTCTAATGTATCTACTTCCTCTCCAGCATATTTTAAGCCCCTTTGAGGGCATTTGCTACCCAGATGATATCCAGTCCCAAGATGTTTATAAGCTGCAGATTCTGAATGAGTGCTTAGAATCCATTAAAGGTTGGATGGTCGACAACTTTCTCCAACTTAATGAAGGACAGACCAAAGTCCTTGTATGTGCTCCTGACAGACATGTACCTAAGATAATGAATGCTCCTGGTCCTCTTTCAACATTTGTGAAATCGTCCATCAGGAACCTCGGGGTAATCTTTGACCCGGCTCACTTTGGTGAGCCTGCTTTTATCACTTAACAAAACATTTCTAAATTAAGTCTCGTACTGAACTGGAGATTATTATTCATGCAGTCATTTTATCATAATTGGATTGCTGTAATTCACTGTTTACATCTCTAAGAAAAAACTCCCTGGAGCGTCTGCAGATTGTCCAAAACGCTGCAGCAAGGCTTCTGACCAAAACATTGAAGTACTCATTTTGTTAACTTTTGTCTGCTTTTGTTTTATACTTTGTCTTCCCTGTGTGAAGCACTTTGTGATCTTTTATCTAGAAAGGTGCTATATAAATAAAATTTACTTACTTACTTTACTAAACTATGGATAAAAAAAGATTCAAAGTACAATAACGATGTGTCTTCTCTTGCTCTTTCTAGGTGAACTCCTGGCCAAAAACGTCTTCATATTGCTTGCAACCACACCTCAGGGCATTCAGTCTAACTGCACCTGGACGAACAGAGCAGAGCAGTCAGTGTTGTTGAAGGCACCTCATTGCAAATAACATGGAGGAGTTTATTCAGAACCTGCCAGATCTAGATGTCAGCTGCTACGTCAGAAACATGTCCACCCCTGTGTTAGTCAGCATTGGGGCTGTGGTTGCTGCAACAACCTATTACCTGGCAACACGATCCAGGCCCCTCCCACAGGTCTGTGACCTGCAGATGCAGTCAGTTGAGGTTCAGGTAAGTTTGGTCCCTGTCAAGAGTCACAGGATAGTTATGCTGATCGATGATGTGACCCACAAATTACTTGCTGTCATTAATTCTCTAACAAGATTTTTCATACAGAAACGTTCCAGCTGCTGTCGTTATTGTTGCATTCACAATCTGTTTCATTGTCATTGTGAGGGTGGAGATTTGGCACGCCGATCAGTTCTACTGACCACTGACAGTCCCTTGACACATATCTATGATGATGCCACTACGTTGTATGAATTCTTTCTCAGAGGCGCCAGAGTGTCCAGTAAGTCACCAGTAATACAATTTAATCCCAATGTGGTACTTTTACTGTATAAATCAAGCTCGCATTCAGATTCATCCTTAACTGCACTGGTGCAGTAGTGATGATGTGTTTAACATCTCATAGTAACTTTGACTTTGTTGAATACAAAAACTGTATATAAAAGATGGATATTTTATTTGAATATTTAGATATTTTAATACAATTTTATGACACACGTTATGTAAAAATTAACCTCCTACGCGATCATTAAGGCAAACTTAGCTGTAGAGACCGCAACTGTTGTTTTTACAGTTTTCATATTAAACATGTATGCTGCTGCTTTAAAGATGAGCATTTAAAAATGGGACCCTTTTTCCATTTTTGCAGAGGAACGGTCTGAAAAAGAAAGTGAATGACATGGATTACCACTCATGTGGTTTTTCCACATTAGAGGAACAGCTTTGTCACATGTATGTGCCAACCATAAGAGCCATTGTGTCAGTTGTTTTGGAACCAGAAGTCCATATTTAGATAAGAAGATGAAAGGCACAGTTAAATTATTTCAGAAATCTCTCAGTCAGAACATGCTATATCATGTTTAGGTAGAAACTAGCGAGCTAACTTCCTGCTAACTTCTAACTCCGTTAAATTTATTAAATCCTGTTTTCATGGATGCCTGGATGTTAAACTTAATTGTTACACCTGGTAAAGCAGCAACGCTGATCATTTTATTAAAGATGAAAGACTTTAGACAGTTTTTAACTCTCAGTGATGCCGCAGTGTTTGTTTGACTTTGGGACCTGTGTACTCTTTCTTAATGCCAGAAGCCTGACAAAATAGTCAACACTTCAGTTTACTGCTGTGCCAGCAGCCAAGCATGCAGGGTAGGAAGTGTAATCATCTATATGTGTAATAGGGATATGTGTATGAAGACATCCTGGGAACACTTTTGAATTTGTGACATTAGGTTGCTCTAACTTTCCACTGTAGTAACTCTTCTCTTTCATCGTCCAGGTAACGGTCCCTGTGTCGGCTCCAGGAAGCCAAAACAGCCTTATGAATGGATTTCCTACAGAGAGGTAAGAGATACCAAGATTAGCTCACCTTGTATAAACACTATGGCCTCCAGGGTGAAAGCTACAGTTTGCAGTCAGTATAAACAGTTGTTTACAAAGTGGTGGTCAAAAAGGTGACCTCGTCTTTTTGGTCACGTTGTTTGCCGGTGACATTCACTCTGCAAGTGCGTCATTTTATTCTGTATGCAAATCTGAAATCGTCACTTTGTAACTTTGTGCTAAATGTGATCACATGTAAATGAGAAGGTGAAAAGGCAAAATGAGCATAAATCAAACTTTGATTTCTGAGGCTGAACAAGGTTGAGTTTGTCAGCATTAACAGCTGGTGTGTGTGTCTGTGTGTTTATGTGTTAGGTAATTGAGCAAGCAGAGAATCTGGGTTCTGCATTTCTTCACAAAGGAAACAGCAAGACTGCCGACTCTCACATCGGCATATTCTCTCAGAACAGACCAGAGGTACATAATCGCACACTTTCAAGGTTTTAGTCTTTACTTTAACAAGCAGCTGCTCTATGATCTCACAGCCTCATTACTTCAGTGCTAAGATGAACCTGAATGTGCTGCTTTTTGACGACGGAGTCATTATCAAACTTAATCTTGTAATGTTTGTTTAAATAATTTCCCCCAGGGATCAATAAAGTATTCTGATTCTGATGATTCTGATTTGTGTGTGTAGTGGACCATCAGTGAGCTGGCGTGTTACACCTATTCTCTGGTGTCAGTCCCTCTGTATGACACGCTGGGAACAGAGGCTATCAGCTATATTATAGACAAAGGTAAACAATGGTGATTTCAAATCAAATCAAATCAAATCACTTTTATTGTCACAGCACATGTGCAGGCACACTGGCACAGCACATGCGAGTGAAATTCTTGTGTGCGAGCCCCACAAGCAACAGAGATGTGCAAACACAACAACACAAACGAGCAAAATACAAGAATGGCCAACCTGAAACTAATAAATATATGTACAATATATAATAGTGTATGCATTTCTGGATGTGTATACTAAATATTTTCCTACGCGTGTGTGTGTGTGTGTGTGTATACACATTTTTACAAATTAAATAGTAAAAAAAAAAAAAAAAAAAAATAATAATAATAATAATAATAATAAAATATATAAAATATACAGAGTTGAATATGTGCAAAACAAGTGGCATTTATATACAGTGTGGAGTGCATAATGTTGAAGATTTGGATACATGGCAGAGGTTTTTCTGAAGACGTTCAGCTGATTATCTGCTATTTGTTTTTGCAGCTTCTATCTCAACTATAGTGTGCGATGTGATGGATAAAGTCAATCTAGTGCTGGACTGCATTAACAACACGAAACACAGTGTGAGAACAATTGTTCTAATGGAGAGCCCGAACACCAGCCTGATCGAACAGGGACAGCAGGCTGGAATCCACATCCTCAGCCTGCAGGAGATGATGGTCAGAAGGCTTTTTCTTTTTTTAAATTAATTATTATTATTATTATTATTTATCGTAATTTCTTTGTCTTTTGTGTGTAATTATTTCATTCTTCTGCTTTTACCTTTAATAAACTTTATTCTTTTCCTTCAACAGCTTCTCCTTTGTTTTCTGTTTTTGTGCAGTGCTGTAAAAGTACTCAATTCCTTCCTGATTTTCTATTTTTTGTATATTTCTCACACTTTCAAATCTTTCGGATCATTAAACAAATTGGAATATTAGACAAAGGCAAGAGTAAATACAAAATGCAGTTTTAAACGATGACTTCATTTATTAAGGGGGAAAGAAAACCTATCCAACCTAGCAGAGAACTGCTGTCAATTAAAAGGGACGCTCCCCACCTTTCAATCCGTGTCAATGGTGTGGTTCACTTGGACAGATGTGAGCACAGTAATCACACTCTGGTGCAGACCAGAACCACCACAATGAGACGCTTTGGAGGAGGTGGTCTCTGTGCGAGTCCAAATGAACTCCAGAGCGATTCACTTAAATGTGATCTGACCCAAATACCCAAAATGTGTATACTGAGCTAAACACCTCCCTGTGTCCAGCTGTGACAGTGGGAGGTGTAAATACACAATGCAGTCTTTTAAAATTATAACTTCATTTATTCAAAGAAAAAAAGCTTCCCAGACCTTCTATGTGTGAAGTTATTGATCCCCCCCCTTTTTAAACCATGATTTAAATGCCATTAACCACATTCTCAGAAAGTTGAGTTTAATTTTATTTGATTACTGTCAAACCTTCTGACTCATGAAATCACTGAAATGCTAAACCTGTCTAACAAAGTGAAGTAGGTTAAAAGAAATAAAGTTTAAAAGACCAAAAGGAAACAAAGTCCTTGACATCTATCAGTTACAAAGTTGTTACAAATGCAGTTCTAAGGGCGAGCCCAAATGGATCAATCTAGAAACGTTCGAGTGAACCATCCCTGGATTGGGCACATAATCAGATTTACTCCTAGAGTGCATCAATGACACATCGAGGAGGTAGCGCAAAAATAAAACTACATCTAAAGAACTGCAAGCCTCACTTATCTCAGTAAGGTCAAAGTTCATGATTCAACAATAAGAAAAGAGATGATATCATGGGAGAGTTACAAGGAGAAAATCACTGCTGACCAAAAAGAACAGGCTCGTCTCAGATTTATCGGTTATCACAAATACGAGGGTGGCACAACCAGTTAACAGCTTTTACACAGAGCCAGACTGGCTTTGATAGCTTTTCATCTTTACTTAATGAAAAGTTTACTTTGATTAACTTTGTGTAAAATTCAAATTTTTCTAGTAATCTGAAACATTTCAGTGTGACAGATGTGCAAAAAGCTAATAATCCAGGAAGTAGGCAAATAGTTTAGTTTTGCTGTCCTTGCTGCTTTGTGTTTATTTGGCCTGTTTTCACTTTCATTTGTTTCTTAGATGGTTACTTCTTCGGCCTACGTTTCCTGTTGTTTTGTCTCAGTTGTCATCATTTCCTTTTATCTCTGTATTCTCAGATCTGTTAGTTAACCTGCTTTTCTTGTTGCACAGGCCATAGGGAAGGCCAACCACCAGGAACCACTGGTATGTAAACACAGGCCTGTTAGACTGTCTCTAAATATTGAGGATGCTGTCTGTTATGCTGTCTGATCCATTTTTACCTCCATCTCTTCAGCCCCCTCAGCCCAAGGACATGGCAGTCATCTGCTTTACCAGTGGAACAACAGGTGACACATCCACAGACTCACAGTGACATGCAGCCACTCTGATTTGAGTTAACTAAAATATTTGCCATGTCTCCTGTACGCACTTTCAGGAAAACCAAAGGGAGCTATGTTGACACATGGGAATATTGTCTCCAACTGCTCAGCTGTCATCAAGATTACAGGGGTGAGGTGCTGATGTAATCATAGACCATCTCTCTGTTTGCTCATCGCACATCTCTTTGAAGCTGGTCGTTTGAGACCTTGTGGTGACCCTTCTGAGTTTTTCTACATAACATGAAAATGTTTTTCTAGTAAATGAAAGTAATCTGTTGCCGTGACTCTTAAGGCTTAAATTGTAAATAAATAAATGTGCAAAATTACAGAAAACATTTCAGAATTACTACGGACTCAATGTAGAAAACTAAAGTTTCTATAGTAGTTAAAGAAAACATTTGTTTGTCTGTTACTTTGATGTTATATGAATTGTCTCTTTATCAGTAGGAAAAACTGTAAAACTTATGAAAATATAACAAAAAGTGTAAAATGTATGTCCAAAGATTGCAGTCTTTGTTGGACCAATTTGGCCCCCGGGCCTTATGTTTGACTCCCCAGCTCTAACGTATCGTATGTCAGTCTAGTAGTTTCCTCAGGTGCTTGCCTGGAAGTTGAGACTTTATTGATTGTGGGTACTGCCCACTTTTCATCACCAGGAGTTTGTTCACCAGTAGACACTCAAAGTCACCAAATAGCCTTAATTTTTATTCTGCCCTGTCCCCACATCACTGCACATCGCTTCTAGTGTCTATGCAGCTTCAGGAAGGAGAAGGAAAGGAAAAATGCTGAAGGGAAGATAGAGAAAACACAGCTCACTAAGACCTTTAATGGTCTCGTCCCTCTTCTCTCCAGTCGTACGTTCAGACCGCTTCAGAAGAAGCTTGCTGTCTTTTCTGCATCTGTCCTACATGCTGGGGAGGGCGGGGGGATTACGAAGGTTAATGCTTTCCATCTCTGTCTTTGTGCATGTGTGTTTGTCTTTGTGTTGATTGCTTGCTGTGTGTGTTTGTTTTAGACCACCTGTCCAGTGCTTCCCAATGATATCCATTTGTCCTATCTGCCCCTGGCTCACATGTTTGAGAGGGTCGTGCAGGTTTGTTCCACCTGTCGTTAAAAATCAAGGAGGATTCCTTCCGGCCTGCTGTGTCAGGCTCCTTTTAATAACATTGTCCCAAATTTCCTCTCCCTGTCTGGTAGGGAGTCATGTTGATACATGGAGCCAGGATTGGTTATTTCCAGGGAGATATTCGTCGACTGTCAGATGACATGAAGGTGCTGAAGCCTACGGTGTTCCCCGTGGTTCCACGACTCTTAAACAGAATGTATGATAAGGTATGAAGAAGTGTAAGCACTCTGCTCATTTGTGTGCTATGATATCTTATAAAGATACGATTTTGCATAAATGCAGTGCTGATCGTAAGCTTTACTGATGTTGTTCTGTTTAATCCTGGTAATTCTTCTGGTGTAGATCTTCGGTCTGGCCAACTCACCCTGGAAGCGCTGGCTGCTGGAATTTGCCTTCAAGAGGAAGCATTCTGAGATCATGAAAGGCATCATCAGGAAAGACAGTATATGGGATAAGCTCATCTTCAACAAGGTCCAGGTATTCAGAGCCAGCACCGCTTTTATTTTAATACTATTTTGTCAGCTGCTGTTATGACAAAATGACTAATTGTCCATGAATATATACAGTTTATTATTTTAAACAACAGTGAAAAAATTTAAAAAAAAAACATAAATACCAACCTACTCGTTACCTGGGGATCCACATTATTAAAAGGAAATTTTCCATTCTAGGAAAATGGAAAACAGAGCAAACAATGACGATACAAAAACACTGTAGTATCAGAGCATTAACAATGTCTGAGTGAGTTTGTTTGGGATGCATTTGAGCAGCTGTGAAGTAAATAATGTGATGTGCTGCCCTCTGCAGGCCAGTCTTGGTGGCTGTGTGCGTCTCATGATAACAGGAGCAGCTCCCATATCTCCAGTTGTTCTCACCTTCCTCAGAGCTGCACTAGGCTGTCAGGTAACACACACACACACACAATTGCTGAATGTAATCTACTGTTATCCTGTGGTGTTTTACTTCCGTAGTATGTGACATCACAGTAATGTCCTCTGGGATGATCCACCCCGCCCTCCTTTTGTCATTTTCCATGTTGCATAATTCTGTCTGTAGCAGCAGCATCACTAACGATTATAATAATAATTGTGGTTTGTGCTCTGTCTCAGTTCTATGAAGGCTATGGACAAACCGAGTGCACTGCAGGTTGCACAGTGACCATGCCTGGAGACTGCACTGCAGGTAGCACATAACAAAGCTGCAGAACTTAACCAACCTTACTTAACCTACTTTAACCAACTATGTAAAAGTATGAAATGATTACTGATCTGAAGATGACCTCAAACTGACTTCATCTCAACAGGTCATGTTGGAGCGCCTCTGCCCTGTAACATAGTTAAACTGGTGGATGTACCCGAGATGAACTACCTGGCTGAAAATGGAGAGGGAGAGGTAAAACTAAAAAGCTGACATCAGCACATATAGCTTACTTAATGTCCATAGTTGTTTCAGTCATTCACACTAGTCACGTGTGCGTATGTGTTCCAGGTATGCGTGAAGGGCGCCAACGTATTCCAAGGCTATCTAAATGACCCAGAGAGAACAGCAGAGACCATCGATGCAGATGGGTGGGTCCACACGGGAGACATTGGGAAATGGCTTCCGGTGGGTTCTTCATCTGTTCATTACATTAAGCTCAATACATATGTGGTCTGTGGCCACACCAGGATTCAGTGCGTGCGCGTGTTTGTTTACAGAATGGCACCCTGAAGATCGTGGACAGAAAGAAGCACATCTTTAAGCTGGCACAGGGCGAGTACATTGCTCCTGAGAAGATAGAGAACATCTACATGAGGAGTGATGCGGTGGCGCAGGTATTTGTGCATGGAGACAGTCTGCAGGTAGGTCCTCTCTTTAAAACTGCAAGTTTCTCTAGAACAAAGTCCACTTTGAATGAGATACATTTACATGTTGTTTGCCTCCAGGCGTGTCTGGTAGCAGTGGTGGTTCCTGACCCCGACTTCCTGTCTGACTGGACCAGGAGGACGCTGGGATTGCAGGGCAGCTACCTGGAACTATGTGGCAGAGCGGTAATGGATTCAGAAAGCTTGCACAAAAGTCTTGAGCCATCCCTTATTTCTTTATATTTTTGCTGCAGGTGAAATAGGTGGAGCGATTTATAGAAATATGTGCAAATATAAACGGTTTATAAGGCAAAATCTGATGGCTAATTATTATGTGTACACACAACACTGGTTCGTCTGTTGTTTAGGTTTCTCTTTATGGTTGAATGACTCATAGGCCAGTGTTCAGCAGCTTAACAATGTTAATATTGAGTAATATATTGAGAATTTTTTCATTCTTCTGTATTTAGGAAGTTAAAGCAGCCATCTTGGAAGACATGCTGAGGCTGGGCAAGGCAGGAGGCCTCAAGTCCTTTGAGCAGGTACAGCACTCAGTCATAGTTGAAGTATTTCTGTATACTTTGAATTGTTTTTCCATCAAATATTAGAAGTAATATTATTATTGTCACTAACACCACCTGGCCACATGTCTGTTCTTTAGGTAAAAGCCATCTGCATTCACACCGAGCTGTTCTCCATCGAAAACGACCTGCTCACTCCAACAATGAAGGCCAAGAGGAACGAACTGCGCCAGTACTTCAGATCCCAGATCGACGAGTTATACGCTGGGATCAAAATGTAGAAGGACAAGTGGAGAGCGGGAGGGAAGAATAGGCGGCAGCTCTTCTAATGGTGCTTTAGATTCAATTAAAAGGGGAAAGAATAACTGAGGTACAAGCTGAAGCACACAACAGAAAGCAAATGAATGAGACCCTCTGAGGCCATCATCACAGGCCTGTACTACAAAGCAGGTTATCTTTTTATTACCTGGCTTAATTAAAAGTAACAACTACTTCCACACACACAATGGTGCTTATCAAATCAGTAATGTGATTTTATGGACATAGACGAAGACAAGGACACTACAGTACAAACCCTGAGGACTCGCTTTAGTTCTCACGGCCAAACAACACGATTGTCATGCTCAACAGAACACAAAAATAATTTGACTACAGGATCTCTGGTACGCAAGACAGGAAGTCAATTTTAACTGTTGATGGAATTGATTAGTCCTTGATATTTAAATATTAATGATGATGATGCTGATAAGGTGCTGAGTCTGAAGAAGCTGTTTTTTGTTTGTACTTCAACTTTGTCACATCACAAATCTCAGGCCAGCAAAAAGCAAACACACATTGTGCACTTTTGTTTTGCATCATTCTCACACAGAATGGTTCACTGGCATTGATGAGACAGTTTGATGTCATGATTTTGTTTTAGTGTTGAAATTTTTAACAGCAAGATTGTTTCACTTGGTTCCTTCATTGTCTGCATGAATTAATTTAGTTGCAGTCAGGGCTTGTCTAGGGGGATCAGCAGATGAAACAATTCAATGTTAGCTTACTGTACACAGGGAAGTCACTCAGGAACATACGGAGCAGACACAGAGGGAAAGCCTTGTTAATGTTTAATTACTTTATAGTGGGTTCAGGAAGGGAAGAGATTTGGTGAATGAATCGGTTTTTTAAATAATGCATTATTTAGATAACAAGGAAAAATAACATTGATTTGTATTATAATTGTTTTTAATGTCACATTTTGTAAAATATTTGATTAAAAAAATCGGTGTAATGTTTGTACATTGCTTCACTAATGCACAAAATTTAAAGATTCTCATTTCTTCGTGTTATATTTAATCAGTCGCATTTGTTTTTGTATTGACATCAGTCACTGATTTGTGTCCCAGATTTCGTTGCTTTCGAAGGTTCGAAAAAAGTTCTTTATGGTCTTTTTCGCATTCCGTAGAAATAAGGACTGTTCAAATCCGCTGTGGGGTTGGCTTTTTTTTTTTTTTTTATTCTCGCTGTAAACATTCTTTCGAATATAGTGAATTCAAAGCAACTTAAGGCAAAGTTAAAGTTGAGTCTCGAATGCAGTTAATTTATCTCTATAACCCCCACTTGCACATTTTTATTGTATTATTTTACACCCCTGTGTGACTGGAATGGTACAGTCCGGAACTTGAACTATTTTGCGGGAGCAGCGGGAAGCTGTTTGAGCTCCTCCGACCGACGAACAGCTTATATAACGTACTAAACCTACAGTTGTTCGCAATGAGGTGAGAACTTTCCGTTTTGATTTCTAACATTTCAACACTACAAGAAATATTTCTTTATACATACCGGAACACCTTGTTTGCTAAAAGAAACTTTTTGTTGACCTGCTGCTGTTAGCATGATGTCAGTGAGGGAAGTTATACTGTCGAATAACGAAAAGAGAAACACACTTGTGTTATAGAGTGTGACAACTAGTGGTATGTATCTGTTCCGTGATGGCGGTCACAGCTTCAAAAGTGCTTCGTTTGGAGCCATTCACAGAGCCAGAGCCTGCTTTATATGTACAGCCAGTTCTCAGTATTTGTATGGCCGCCCTCTTCTTTCTGATGTTGATCACCATCTCTCTGAGCTTGCTCACATTCAATAAAAAAAAAAACAACAACAACGATGTAGCAGATAAGCTCTTATTTCTTTTAATCTACATTCGGCACAAGAGCCGGCCTCTTAATAAGAAGCACATTTTGCCACTGGCTCAATGTTTTTATTTCACATGTGGGTGTAACGTAGAACGTGGAAGGTTTAAAATATATCAGCTACATGTGGCATGAAATAGGAAACCCAGATGAGTATTTACACGATGTGAGCCACTTATCGAGTGATGGTTTGTCTTGAATGGTTGGGTGGTGTGTCACTGTAAAGTGTGGGACAGCCTATCTACTCTATTAACACAAGTGACAGTCCTCTGCTAAAGGAGGTAATCATGAAGCACTTTCCTTTTAGTATTTTAAGAATATAACCGGCTCTCGTTATCGATATAGCCTCACCTGGGTCTATCCAGGTAAGAATTCCACCACAGCCTTGCGTTCTTTAACCAGGCTGGTAGGTGAACAAACCCAGCATCCAGAGCCAGTTACAGTTTTTTCTGATTGCTTAAGCACATTTTTTGTAACTATTGGCTAATTTTGCAAAACTCTTCACACAAATAAGAAAACCTGTCACCCAATAATCAAAACATTGTAGTTCTCTTGCAAAAGCAAACACAGCTAGATTAACTCTTCACACCTTCGTAAAAATGGTGTTTCCGTATCAAACAGTACACACAAGCCATCATCTACTAAGCACACAATGCACCAACTGCACACTGATGGTATGAATACAAAACACATCTGGCTTTTGCTTTCTCTGTGCACAAGGTAGGCTATGTCAGTTTGAGCTCATACTTCTGTCATAGATCCATAAGCATAGAGGGATCCAAACTTCAAGTACTGGTGTTTATTCAAACACATCAAAACAAACACAAGTGTTTATTTCCAAGTATAGGATTATTTGCAATCGCCATAATGACTATATGGGTTACTTGGTCTGCAGTGAACATGCTTCCTCTGCCCCCAGCATCTGGTCATCTAGCAATTCTGTAAAGTAACAATTTCAGTATTTTTACATCAATGGTATTGGTGTGTTTCTCATTGGCATATGGCAGTGCTACAAATCTTTGTGCGAAGTGACTGTACTAACCGATTCTCATTTCAAGATGTCCCTATGGTACTTGCTACAGTGTAGCAGCTCGAGTTAGACTGGACCCGTTGGCCAGCTACCCTCAGGGTCATTCCATAGTTGATTACATGGTCCACTATTGTAGCTCTGATGTCATCAGCAATTCTATTTCTTACTCTTCCTACCCTTCCTCTCCCCCCTCCTCGTCTTCCTCTTGCTCCTCCTTGTCCTTGTCGTCCTCTTCATCCTACTTCTTCACCTCCACGTCCTCTTCCTCGGCCTCCTCTACTTCTCACTCTTTCTGCTCCCTCCATTGTACTCCGCACACACAGCTTACCTGTATTATAGTGCTTAGGCTGATTGCAAAGTGAACTAATTATCTAAAAAAGTTTTCACATGTGAAAGTGTGCCAGACAGTTGGCAAGTTAGTGTTAATGATAGCCATACATGTGTATACTTTTGCTAGGACTGTGTTGGAAATTTGGTAATTGAGTGTTGTGCAGTGAATTGTGCCTACAGTTTTGCAAAGTGTGTGTTACAAAATTGCAAACTGAGTGCAAAGCAGTTTTTGTGCTTTTAGTTTTGCAAACTCAGTGAGTGGTTTTGCTATAAGTCTGAATAGTTTTAGAGATTGTGCTACAGGAATCACAGTTAGGGTTTAAGCATTCAGAAAAAACTGTAATAACATATGGCCTTTTGTTTATGCAGTGCCAAAAAGCGACGGGGAACCAGAGTGTCGGCAGCGCCTCCAGTGGAGAGCGAAGTAAGTTCATCCATGACTGGTTCAGTGTGATCAGATCGATTGGTCCTTCTTTTGTTTGCTGCATCGTTGAGGAAAAACACGTAAAAATAGTTGTTGTGGGGCAACTTTTTAAAGCACCTAATTATACTTTTATTCCACTTTGTTTTGCTCAAATTTAGAAAGCGTCAGCTTTTGATCAAATGGATTCCACCAACCTGTCCTCTATAGACAAAGCTAGCTTCCTGGCAGGGTTACAGATAAATTATGGTAAGACTATTGAATCTGAGTACCTTTGTCATGTGTTGTTATACATTTTCTGCTCCTAATGAACTTTGGCTGACCACATGATGCTTGTGTTGCCCAGACAACCCTCTGCACAGTACCGCCATGGAAGAAGATTTAAATGTGCCTGAAGAAGAACAGAACAGACCAGAAAACCCAGGAAAGGCCACCGGCGGACAGCGTGGATCTGCTGTAAAGAGGAATGTGGCAGAGGAAGGTCGAGAGAATAGGAAGGAAGAAAAGAAGGTAGAGAGGGGCAGGAGAAGTGCTGGTGAGAAGGGCCAAACCAGGTAAGGTATAGTTAATGTGCACTTACTAGTTTATTGTGACGTGAGTGCTGACTTCTTTTTTTTTTTTAAACCTCCTGTATGCACCGGTTAGCCCTGAGAAGGAAGCCACTGCAGATGAACAAGCAGAGCCACATGTGGAGGTACATAAATCTGTCCCAGAGAAGGACAGTCAGCCTGCTCCTAAAGCCATACAGAAGCGTTTAATTGGGAAGAAGCCTGCCAAGAGGAGAAGTGCAAGGTGAGGCCCTGTACAAAGAGTGTGATGACATAAAAACCCCTCAAAGCTCTAGAAGCTCCTTTCTACTTACCCAAATATTTATGACTGTGAGTACAGAAGCTGCCCCCCCACTCTGGAAGAACTTAAACAAACAACTTGAACTTGACTGTCTGAGTAATGATGCTGAAGTGACTGACTTTTATGTTATATCCCTACTGGTTTATTTATCTGTGTGTGTGTCTGTCCGTGTCCCACTAGGCCTGTGAATAATCAGCAAAGGAAGGAGGACAAGAAGAGAAAAAGTGAGTCTGCTAGTGGAAGATCAAGTGACAGTCAGTCACAGGTGAGGAGCTCTTGTGTGGTCATAAAGCCTTTCAAATAAAAATAGAGTTGAGATGTCAGATGTGCTGAAAATAATGATTTGTTCCAGAGCTCTGGCCCCGCCCCACAGAAGAGCAGGCGAGTGCTTTCATCTGATGAGGAGGATGTGGATGTAGACTCCAGCTGGGTATGGACTAGCATTAGCACAGAGCTTTGAGCAACAGTGGCAAATATGGGCTATATTCTAACTTTGCATCTTTTTCTTCATGTCATTTCCTCAGAATCCAAGTCCAAAGAAGGCCGTGAGGGGAAGCTTGGGAAGAATGAAAAAGTCTTTGTACGAGAAATCCAAAGCTAGGAAGTCTTCATCAGGTAAGAGCAAAGAGAACTAGTTACTGTCTGTTATCACTTTTACAATGCATAACGTCTGATTAGACTTCATTTCTGCTGCTGCGTTTGGATGTAAGGGTCAGAATTTGGTACACACAGCATGAAAGCATGACCTGCCTGGTATTGATGGTTCAGGCTGCTGGTGCCGGTGTAATAGTGTGGATATTTTCTTGGCTCACCTTGGGTTTCAGTATTATCAACTTTATTTAAAAGCAAATACATACCTGAGTATTGGTGCTGACTATGTGAATCCATTTATGACCACAGTGTACCCATTTCTGATAGCTGCCTCCAGCACGATAACACGTCATGTCATAAAGCTCAAATCGCGACAAACTGGTTTCTTGAACATGTTGTCATATCACTGTGGAGCAAATCTCTGTGGAATGTTTCCATCACATTCCTGATTGTAGAAATTGCAACATTTTAGAAAACAACAGAGGGTCCAACCCAACACTATGCAGGTGTACCTAATGAAATGTCCAATGAGTGTATTTGTAATCAGTATCTGTGGCAGTGTTTCACAAAACATGCAGTTGGCATGAAGGTGGGAGGCTGTTGTAGTCAACACTGTCGCCTTACTGCAAAGGTTCTGATCACATGTTGTTGTGGGGGTTTTTGTTGTTGTTGTTTTTTTGTAACTAACACAACAAACATTTGTTTCTGAACTGTATCAACTGTTGGTGTGATGGACCAAGCAGCCAATTACACCATTTTACCCCCCAAAAAGACAAATTTAAAAATAAAATTTGTGGATTCATAAAGAAGCTCAACTAAGCATAACTACTCAAAAAGTGACTTCCAGAAACTTAAATGAGTAAACTGAGCACAAAGACAAAGGAGGGTAACAGTGGTTTGGCCAAACCATTTACTCACAGAGGGAAACAAACACAAAATAACATAACTGCACCTGGCCACACCTTTTGCCCAGACAGGAAGCAGCCAGTATAACCACACAATGCTACTATGTGCTCATAATATCATTGTTAGGATAAAGTAGAGACATTAATGAATTATATTGCTAAAATAACTGGAATCCAAACTAAGGAGGTGAATGTATGGATTGATTTTGCCCATGTGTGGCTGATGCAGTCACAGTTGGCCTTCATCAGAAAGAACCGAAACAGACTCTAACCACATCACTGGGAAAAGTATCTCAGTGAGCCTGGCCCTGTGCTTTATTTAATATTACTGTAATTTAATTGTAATTGACATTTTTCCTTAAAAAATTATTGCTCAGAGTGATTAAATAATGGAGATGATTCCCCTCGAAGGCAGTGGATCCGGAGAACCAGAACAGGCCAGCACAGGCGAGCAGAGGAGGAAGAAACGAGGCCAACACAGAGGGACAGAGTTGGAGGTGCTGCTGGATTCCTTCCTTGACTTCTGTGAGCAGTACAGGTAAATTTCCAAAATTCAACGCTCATTCACCGTGACCGTCTCTGTAGCCTGTAATCTAGGCTTTAAGTACACATTACAGTCATTTTTATTAACGCCTTTGCATTGACAGCAGCTGTGTTTCACACAGATATCTATCACAGATAAATATTGAAGCAATGATGTTTACTTTAGAAAAGCTCAAAGGCTGAGTCAGGATGCAAGAAAACTGCAAGCATGCTGGTAGAGGTAATCATTCAGGTTGCCAGTAGCATTACTTTGTTCTGCTTGCTTTCAGGGAGTCTGTGGGGTCTAAAGCTGTCAGACACACCATTGATTGTTTCTCCAGCAATGTCAAAGACCAGCTCACAGAAAAGGTCAGACTTTCCTGATTCTGGTCATGATGTCAAACAGAGGTTGTCAAGGACAACACAGCTTTACTCTGTGTTGTTTTGAAGGATGCTACAAGCTGGATTAAACCAACAGTGTAATACCAGTAACTCATACATTGTGTAGCCATATTAGAGTGTAAAGCACTATAGAAGGACAGGATTACAGTGACAATTGTAATGCTAAGTATTTTGTTGGTTACTGACATTAAACATCATGAAATGCAGGGAGGTCCCTACAAGGCCTTTTTCATCTAACGACATAATAAGTAGTCGATCCTACTTCAAACTCTAGATGTCACGAATGGACTTATGATATAACTTGGATTTGTTTTCTCCATGAATTGAGTCTAATAGACAGCAGCATTTTGTTGATCAGCCATCATTAAATCAAACACTGTATTTGTCTCTTTCAGATCACTTCACTTAAAGAGCTCAAGGTTTTAAAAAGAGAAAACAACAAGGTAATTATGACGTCTGGTCAGCATTACTAATGTAAGCATGGTAAAATACTAAATTGTGACCCTAGTAGCATGTTAGTACGCCACCTCTGATCAAGGATCCCAAACACACATCGGGACTGGTTGGAATGGATCGATCAGGCTACCAAACGCACTCAGTCAAGCTGCAGTTTGTTAATGGACATTGAATTAAATATTATTGTGTGTGTATATTTGTGTTCTTTTGACCCTGTGTGGATTGGAGGAAATCCTAAATGGATTCAAACAAAGTCTTGTTTTTTGATTTGTTTGGTTTTTAAGTCATTAAAGATTTGTGCTGCACAATCATTGCACTGGAAAAAGTTCAAAGAACTCATTAAAGTCCTAAACTTCCCATCACGATGAATTTACATAAGCATCTAACCACACCACCTCCCTGCTAGTTAATGATTCTCAACTTTGACTCATTCAAAACGGTCAAAATCAGATCAATAGGCTCATTTTGACGTTTCTGTGTGTCCTTGAACTTCTAGTCTGCACGACAATAATCCACTTTATACTCTTGGAAGATAAGACGAGAACTTTAGTCATTTAATCGTTCCATATCGCCTCCTTACCTTCCGTATGAGCTGGCAGAATGTGTTAGACATGAACATACTGTTACTGTGATTTTATGTCAGAGTACTGATGCCTATGTTTAGCTCAAAGTCAGCGTCCATACTTTGCACTGAAGGATAACAGAGCAGCTTGTATTTCTGTAGGTTGGGTAAAGTGCTTGTTTCCATTGTTCTGTGTTAGGTGGGCTCTTTGATCCGTAAAAACACGCAGAGACTGTTTGATGCCAAGCATGAGATGATGAGGTGAGCAGCAGCTCACACACATGGTTTACAAACAGCCTGTTATAACTTTTATGTCTTTATAGAGTCATTTATGTGAAAGAACTAGGTCTTGGAGAATGTAAAAGTTTACATTCTTTTCCTTTCACTGACTGCTGACCTCGTGTGATTGTTCTAACAGAGCAGAGAGGCAGGCATGGTTGCTGGAGAAGGAGAAAGCTGAACTTCAGCAGCGGTTAGCTGACCTGAGACAAAGCCAGGCCTTCCTCCATGACATCAGAGAGCTCAACCGACAGTACCTGGACTACAGACAAAAACACCCCAATGAGAAAGAGACGGTAGAGATGCACAACAACATTAAATACCCAAATACTGTATTGTGTATTTCAATGATGAGCTGAATTCTGGTTCCTTTTTCCAGTACGGGGCCTCCAGCTTACCAGCTCTGCTCTTGGAGACGAAGCACATTAAAACAGCAGAGAGAAAAGAGACTTAAAATGAGTCTGGGAAATGACACAAATGCAGAACGTTTAAAGCTCCCAGAGACTGCACAATATGAGATGAGAGGCTGGAAGCAGCTTGACGGTTTGGATTGTAATGTATGGTGTAGATAAGGCTTTGTATATAACACTGTCCTGTTCATTTAGATCATAAATGTAAACTGGATGATTACTAGAAGAATGACATGTTTTATAGATTAATAATATGAATACATTCATATTGTATTTAATAAATTCAAATAACGGAACCAGAGTTTGTGTGCGTGTGTAGTTCAGTTACTTTCTTTATTTAACAAAAGGAAAGAAATTCCGGAAGCAGTCTGAACTGCTACTGGGATTTCCGCGGAGCTTCTGATAATTATTTGTCACAGCATTTCACCTGCCTGTGCAGAAAAGAGAAGGGATTGTTGGTAACTAAACAATAGTTGTCTAAACCAATCAGCGTTTGTCTTTTAGTAGCGTCATCCCGCCCACACAGAATCGGCGTTCCCATTGGCTCAAAGTTTCAGGTATAAACTTTTAACAGAGATTTCCTGGTTGGCTTTATTTATGTAACATACTTCATAAAAGCACTTTCTACTGTCTCATTAAGAGGTACGTTTATTTTGGTGTTTTCTACTCCGTTCGTATTTACCCTTATGAGTTACTCGCTGCGTGGGTTTACCGTGTTCCCGCTGATATTTACGTGTTTTATCAACTATTTGCTTCACTAACGCGTTTTCTGACGTAGCTGTAAACTAAACTGAAATTGTTTAACAAACCAGCTCGGGAGTATTATTTTTAGGTCATCGTTCACTCGCCTTTATTACTGTGTAACATTAGCTGTAGTAGCACTTTAATGGACAGTTGTCGTATGTTAGGTTTTTGTAGTTTGTGCTACTAGTCTGCAGTGGGACTCACTTTTACGGCATTTATATAATTCATATGGAATATTCCCACAGATCTGTCACTCATGTACGGGGTAATTATTAAGCTAACATCCAGGTATGGTGCGTGGAAGTATTTCAATTGGCTTAACGTAAAAACAAGAACGTGCTGATAGAAGGGTTGTAAATAATTTTTTGTTATCATTGCAGTTTCGTTATTAGCTCTAACTTGGTGTAGTTAAACAGTAATGGTTGTTCCTTAGTATTAGTCTGCTTTGAATATGTTAACATTCAAACACATGGGTGTGTGGAAACAGCAGTCTGTGGTCCTAACCCCAAAAGTAAACCTAACTAATAATAGTCAAATGAACAACTTACAGGAAGCATCATGGGTTTTGTGGTTTTTTCACGTTGGCTAGATCACGTGACCAGTATTTATGACAGGCTGAGATCCTCTAAACCTGAGTTGTTGAACATGGGTCTAGGGTCCAGAGGTAGCCCAGCTCACTAAATGGGCGACTTAAAATATAAAAGAATTTCATTGAGGGCATTTATTAATTATTGGTATTCCTCCTGATGCCAGTGTTGTGCTAGAAACTGATTTTTGATGTTTCAGTGTGCTTATATTGGTAAATAGACTGACCATACATTTATGGAGGGGTTATATATTTAAAATAAAGACAGGACCTGTTTGTCTGTATTTCCTATGTCTATACAGCCTTACTGCACCTACATTATCAGCCCTTTTTGGCCATTTTAAATATCTTAATAAAACTGTGATGTTATGTTTGTTTGCAGCTCTCTGGGACAAATCTCTGTTGAAAAAAAGACATTTTTGGTGGCAATCAGTTTTTACCTGGGTAAATGTCTGTACAAGTGATTTTGCCAAAACTTCATCTCAACATCTACTTGGTGACAGAAATGGCTTTCATGAGAGATGTGTTTTTGACAGATTATCGGCCATGAGTCATTTACGACGGTCTACTGTTCAGCACAGCACCCGCAGTTACAGGAAAATGAAATATATTTTTAGAGATGAACAAAAGACATAAAATACTATTGCTGTTTTTGAAACTAACTGCTGTGCCTTCACACCATTCCGTACAAGTGTAATATCCATTTAAAAGAGGAAAACTGTCTTAGTTCACCCAAAGGCTTTTATCTGCATCGGAAAATATGACCTCATCACGTAGCCTTGCTGACACCAAGCGACAGGCTTAAGTGACCAGTTGCTTGGTGGCATATGTACCAGTGCCATGTACTAGTACACACAATGTAGGAAAAATAAGCATCGTAATATACAGCTGGCTTATGTTAGTAGTCTTCATTTTGACAGACCTTTATATTTTACAACGTGTACATTATGTACTGCAGTGTTCTCATACACCTATATTTATCAAACTAACATCTGGATGTTTCAGAATTTAATTTAAAAAAATCAAACAGAAAGATACTGACTCACTGTTTTCATGTTGACAGTTATTTTCTCTTTCACACTGAGGTAACTTTTCTCATGATCCTTATAAAACACTTCCTGTTGTGTCAGTGGTTTCACTATGAGCTACAGTTTGGTGTGGTTTAACAGGAGTGGCTCTTCCTGAGTATGCTTTTAAACTGCTTTAACTTATATATTGACATATTAGTTAATCCATAAAGTAGATTCTATGTTGGTAAACACAAGGTTGAGTGTATGCACCAAACCCACAAACCACCAAACCACTGGTCTAATGTTTTTCTTATTTTTACTGCTCTTGTGCCTTCTGCCATGACCCCAAAATTTCCCACGTTTGGGACTAATAAAGGTTTATCTTATCCCTGTTACCAAACAGCTTCCAGGGTAACTATTGTGCTTGTTGTGGGGTTTTTCTTTCCACTTTGAGATTGTATAATCTGGCATACTCTATCAAGCTACATGACCTTACAGGTTGGGACTGCACAAAAAGAAGAATCCCATTCCAGTTTGTTGGTGTGTGCTTCCCTGAGTAAATGTGTTAAATGCAGAGAGGAATTTCCCCACGGGGATCAGTAAAGTATACATTATTATTATTCAAGAATTGCACATCAATCAACTCCAAACGTTTTAGTCATGCTTTTCACAGTTTTGCAACTTGCACAACCCAACCAGAGTCCAAAAATACACTTCTCCAGAAAGTGTAGCTCTTTCTTGAAAACACTGAGAATGGCATGTATTTCCTTGTAAAGTAATTGTTCTCCTTTTTCTAATGAAGAAATGCTATAGCATGATCTACATCACTGATCTTAAATCTTGAAAATGAGGAAGCTAATCAGCCTAAACGAAAATGCATGTGTTTTTAAACCAACTGCAAGCGTTAGTAGGGGTGTGGTCCACCTTTGGAGAGGATCCACGGGGTGTTTGGTTTCTTTATCTTCCTGTGGTGATTTCTATGCCACCTTTTGTGTGCAGGAACATCATGGCTGATGGTGACATGCAGAGAGGTGGGGACACTGTAGATGCTGCAGTTTGTGGAAATGGGTAACTATTGTGCGTTGTTGCTCACTGTCTGAGTGCCCACGTGTTGAGAAAGCTTAACTACTGTAGCAGCTCTGTTTGCTGAAATGTGGAGACTTGTGCACCTCCTGGCTGATTTGACCTTGGCTCAGGTTGTTTTCCTTCATATTTTAACACAAGTGGCTTATGTTACCGTCATCTTCACTTTGACAGCCAGCAGTTTATTCTTCAGTTTGCCACAGTGTGGTTTTAAACCAGCAGGATTAATTAGTAAAGAAGCTGAGCGTACAAGAGCTGCTCAAAAGAAAATGGTACATGTGAAAATGCTTAGTTGCACCAATGCTCTGAAGTTCTATCTGGTACAATGACATTTCAAAACCAATCTGTGTGATATTCTTGTACGTTTTCATTGAAGTCGTGGGTAAACAAACAAGTTTAGCTACAGTAGCTACAGTCTTGTTAACAACTTCTTTTATGTGTGACGGTGTTAAACAAGTTCTTCATGTTTTAAGTACAGGGCAGTCATGAGTCAGAGTGTGTGTGTGTGTGTGCTCCATCAGGGGAAATGCAGAGGCTGCAGGAAGTTGCAAGACTACTGAGGAAAAGGACTGGAACAGCAGTAAACCAGAAGCCTCTGATGTTTACCGCTACAAGATGGACTACCCCTGCATTGGCACCTGTGTGATTATCAACAACAAGAACTTCCACTCAAAAACAGGTAAGATGAGATAACCTTTATTAGTTCCACGTGTGGGACATTTGTTTTGTTACAGCAGTGGACAGTGCAAAGTTGCATAGAAAATTAGAGAAAAAAACAGTGGATTGATATATCTATGAGATACTGTACACAATAGAATAGAATAAAATAAAATGCCACCACAGTGGTAACAGTGGGTCTAGACCAGGGGTGGGCAACTCCAGGCCTCGAGGGCCGGTGTCCCTGCAGGTTTTAGATGTGTCCTTGAACCAACACAGCTGATTTAAATGGCTAAATTAGCTCCTCAACGTGTCCTGAAGTTCTCCAGAGGCCTAGTAACGAACTAATCATGTGATTCAGGTGTGTCGACCCAAGGTGAGATCTAAAACCTGCAGGACACCGGCCCTCGAGGCCTGGAATTGCCCACCCCTGGTCTAGACAGTCATTGAGATGGACTGAGACACTTTGCATTTCATGATCATTGTCTTCGTCTAAAACTGCCTCGTCACAGTGCTCGTTCCAAACTTCACTAATTTTCCAAATGTCATCAGCTGCGCTACATTGTGCCTCACACTTCACACTGTGGCATAAAAACAACCTGATACAGTCTTTTTAGTTTTTAACTTATCACAATAGGAAAAGAAAACATGTACCTCACATGGATATGACCTTGAATAAAATGTAAATACAGTGAAGACCAACACAAGATCCTTTAAATGTTATTACCCAGCACGTGTTTGGAGATTGAATGGTGGTTGATTGACCTCCTAAGACCCGAACTCTTCCTTCTTGGACTTCCTGTCACAGGAGTGTTTGTATGTTATAACCTTATCCAGATTTATAGAATGTCGGGGAGTGCTTGTTTTCTTTTTACACTATGCTCAATAATAGTGTTGTATTTGTAAGACATGACACCTCTATGGTGCAGATGTTTCCCTCTCACTTCACCCAGTTGTAAATGTGCACATGTTGTGGTGTAACAGTAGTAGCATCTGTAGGATCATTTTACAGCTGCTGCTGTGACAAATCCCAGTGTCTGCAGTGAAAAGGGAGATGGGATTTTCCCACATTTTTCCAAATGTACAAAAAGTCAAATGAAGTACTTTCCACTGCTTTGCTTTTTGTGCAGTTGCAGTACAAAGGAATCCTGCTGTGACAGTTACAATCCCAGTTCCAAAACAAACTTGGAACTAAAATGTAAAACAGAATGCAGCGACAGATCTCACAGACCAAATGGTAAATGGCCTGTATTTGTATAGTGCTTTACTAGTCCCTAAGGACCCCAAAGCGCTTTACACATCCAGTCATTCACACACTGGTGATGGCAGCTACATTGTAGCCACAGCCGCCCTGGGACGCACTGACAGAGGCGAGGCTGCTGGACACTGGAGCCACCGGGCCCTCTGACCACCACCAGTAGGCAACGGGTGAAGTGTCTTGCCCAAGGACACAACAAACGAGACTGTCCAAACCCGGGTTCGAACCGCCAACCTTCCGATTACAAGGCAAACTCCTAACTCTTGAACCAACACTTCATTGACCACAGAGCAGAGGAAACGAGCGCTGTCCCGTTCTCCCGTTCTTGTTTAATATCAGGACTCTACCTGTACCGCACTCCTGGCTCTTATTTGTCATGTTCCTGTTTCGTGATGCTCCAGCTGTTTGCAGGTGGTGAAATATCTGGAGGCAGGTAGGCCAGTTCAGCACCCGTACTCTTCTAGTACGAAGCCACATAAAGAATGCAGTTTAAAAGACGATGGTGATGGTCCCCTCCCAGATGTGAAGGCTGTTAGTTCCATAGGCACTAATGCCAGATTCTGGGCGTCCAATCATGATATGATACCCAACCATGTTACTGACATGTGGCCAGTTAACCTGAGGTAACCCTACAGTGCTGTGAAAAAGTATTTGCCTCTTTCTCCAGTTCTTTTTTTTTTTTTTTTTTTTAATAGTTGTCACATTTACATGTTTTAAATTTAACAAACTTTAATATTAAACACAGATAATCTGGGTTAGAATGAGCTGTATATTTATCATGAAATAGTTAAATGTATTAGCTTGATTTGATGTTTTTTTTAAGTTTTGTTGTGAATAAAATATCAGCTTATGAGATTTTAAATCATTGCATTCTGTTTGGATTTTATTTCCAGGATTCCCAGACGGTGCTGACTTTATAGTGTGCTACCTTTCTGCTTGTGTATCTCTGTAGGGATGGGCACTCGTAATGGGACAGATGCTGATGCTGCCAGTGTTGCAAAGACCTTCAAAAACCTGGGTTACAAGGTCCAAATATTAAATGACCAGACTGTGGCTGAGATGAAAAGGCTGTTGTTAGACGGTAAGAAGACGTTAAAGCTTTACCTCTGTATTCACAAAAACCTCTCCATCCTGTTACAGTCAACCTGTGAGCTGATTGTAGTGAAATGCTGTGGTTGTGGTAACCACCAGACGGCAGTTGTTCTAATGTTGCTATAGCTTTTTGTTAGCAGTTGGCGGATGTTATAGAGCTACACCAGTTACACTTACATAACAGGTACTGTCTGGTTTGGTTTTAACCAATCATCCCAGTCGTTTTAGGAGAGTAGTCTTAGCCCATTGAGAAAGAAGAGTGAAAAAGGATGTGAAGGAACATAAAATATCCAGAAAATTTTATTTTTGTTCATTCTATTAGAGTAGCTCCGCCAAAATAAAAGCACTGGCTTGTGAGTTGGCATCAGGGGGTTGTTTAAAAACAGCTGGACTAATGATTCCTTGGTGTTTCCCCTCTGTTCTGCTGTGTTTCCAGCATCCAAAGAGGACCACAAGAACAATGCATCATTTGTGTGTGTGATGCTTAGTCATGGGGATGAGGGTGTCATATACGGCACTGACGGCTGTGAAAAGTTTGATACGCTGGTACAGTGCTTCAAAGGAAAGCAGTGCAAGGGTCTGGTGGGGAAACCAAAGCTCTTCTTCATACAGGTGAGTTCATTATGGCAGTGTGGTACACTTCTGCGATGTTGATTCCTGTGTTTCAGTCTTTATATAGTAACGTCTTCATTAGTAGTTTATTAAGTTCAAAGTGTTGCTTTAATTGTCATCTGTTTTATAACTTTTAAAAACAAAACAGTGCTTTCACTTTAAATGTACATGAAAAAAATGTAACCATTGAATTTCTTTATATTTAACTGATGAGTCAGAGCTAACACACCCACTTTTTAGCCACTTTGATTTCCTCCAGGAGCTTTGAGGACAACTTGCCCAACACAGATGTTTTGGATATAAAGTCCAGATGTTTCTTCACATTGTTCGAGAGCTTTAGTTAATGTGGGGAGGTTTTAAACTACTTTTAAAGATTGGAATTTACAAAATATACCTTTAACCCTTTTTCTTAATATCCAGTATGACTGATAACTTTTGTTTATATGTCCTGGTGCTGCTGAAATTCAAGTTCATTTAGATAATGCTTCGAATAACTGCCCGCCCAAGTTTCCCTAAGGTGTTTCAAGATGTGTGCCAAATATGAGATCGATTTTGAGTTTCTCCTTCCTTTTCAGGCATGCCGTGGTTCAGCCCTGGATGAGGGAGTCATTGAGACCGACAGTGTAGGAGACGAGCAGACGTCTGAGAAGATTCCTGTGGAGGCCGACTTCTTATACGCCTATTCCACCGCTCCAGGTACAAACAGTTTCTCAGACGGGACATTTTAGAGTGATGTCCCAACCTCAGGACCCACCTTCTGGGTCATTCTCATAAACCGATGGGTTGGGGTGTGAAGAACAAGCATCGACACATTGTCCTGTTCATTTTCTGTCTATGCTTCCCTTTTTCTGTTTCCTTTTTTTTTTTTGGTCTACAACGCAGCTGATGTGTCACATGTGGTGTCCAAACTTGTTTTCTAAGAGCGCTAACGCTGTCACTCGTCCTGCAGGATACTACTCATGGAGAAACACAAGCAACGGCTCCTGGTTCATACAGAAGTTGTGTGAGATGTTGGAGCGCTACAGTGGGAAGCTGGATCTGATGCAGATCATGACGCGAGTCAGCCACGGTGTTTCACGCCAGTTTGAGTCGTCCTGCAACCTGCCTGGATTTAGCAACAAGAAGCAGATCCCCTGTATCGTCTCTATGTTGACCAAAGACTTTTACTTCCCCGTCTAGATTTACATGGTTGAACCTAATATCTACCCTCTGGCCACCTTGAATGTATACAGTCTGTTGTGGTGTTCTGAGCAGGATAACAATGATTTAATTGTCACTATACCCAAATGCACTTTGCACTGAGGTAAAAACACATCAGTGTTGGATGATTTTAGTGTTTGGTCTTGTTTGGGAAACACAAAACACTATTAGTTCCATAGTTAAAAATATATTACAATAAAAAAACTTATACTGATGCGACAGCTTCCATCTTTTGTCATGTGATCAGAATCAGAATCAGAATGGGGTTTATTGCCAAATGTTGAGCAGGTTTACAACATTAGGAAATTGCTGCGGTGCTTCAGTGCAAACATGGTGTCATAAATAACACTTAAATAGACATGGAAAAAATAAAAGTAGGGATAAGAATTAAAAGTGCTACGTGGAAAGATATGTGCATGAGATATACATGAGATATATACATGAGAGTAAGAATTAAGAGTGCTACGTTGAAAGATATATACATGAGTGCAGGTGGTGATCAGTGCCAAACATGGAATGATACAGTGAACACAGCGTAGGGTCATGTGTTAGTGGCGGGGACAGTCATATGGTTATTGTTCATGTGTCCAACAGCAGAGGGGAAGAAACTGTTCTTATGGCGAGAGGTTCTGGTGCGGATGGACCGGAGCCTCCTGCCTGAGGGGAGCAGGTCAAACAGACTGTGTCCAGGGTGAGAAGGGTCAGCTGAGATCCGAGCTGCACGCCGCAATGTCCTGGAGGTGTACACAATGCTGTAGGTTTGACACTTCATTGTGTTGCAATGGCCCAAAGTCCAGACCTCAACCTGACTCAACTGTTTACATGCCGTATCTCTCACAGAGGAAACTTTAATATCACCTGTCAAAATCGCACTTGTTTTATTCTGAATTTTACACACAGGAATAAGATCATTGATCCAACTGACCAAATCATTCACACAGCTGGTTTGAAACGTTTGAAGAAAATTCAGGTCAGCTGATGGTTCAGTAGTATTTGCTTTAAAAGCATATGTGTGGATATAACCTGTAACATAATGCTACCACAAACACACCCGAGATCGTATGTAGAGCAAAGTTGCACCAGCAATGTCTAAACTAAAGCATTATGGAAAATTACATGGGATAAATTATCAATATGTTTAAGGGACAAGTAAAGAAGTTCAAGCCTCACAAATAACTGAAGTCATTTTATGAAAAAAAGCAGTCTTGATAAATGATTACTGAATTTTGAATTTGCCACAATAAAAGACACTTTCACATTTGATTGGATGTAGAATTTCAACCTCCTTATGGAATCTTTATTTTTTCACTGGCTTTGATTTTCTTTTGCTCTGCAATTTAAAAAATTAAGAAAATTCCCCTAAACTGATCATATTTTCAAAAACTGATGGCGCGGTCCTTTAAGCACAGAACTTTAGTAACGTTGTTACTTCGCGCCTCTGAACAGGAAACAGAACCCATTCTGCGTCCTCGGGTCTCTGGAGCTGAAATTTGCAAGTCTTGTTTTCTTCCAACCTCTAAAAAGCAGAACGGGACAAAGGAACCTGTATCTTCGAGACTGCACATTTCTACCCTCTTTTCGACCAAACTGGTCCGGCTCTGTGGAAAATATCTGCTGGCACAAATATAGTTTTGACCACAAGAATTCTTTTTGACCAACAAAGTAAAGTTATTTTAGCCTCGTTTCTCCTTATGTTGGAATAGTTTGGTTACACGGATATTGACACTAAACTCAGTTGTCACGTTTATGTTACGAACCTGCTTCTTATACTGTCCAAATTCTATATTCATAAATCCAAGTTCTCCTGTAGTAAGCAAAATTTCATTCAATTACTTTTGTATATATATTTTCTCAGTAATGGGCAACAAGAATAACAACGTGTCGCCTTTTTAAACATTTGAATATACTCCTATAATGTGTCTGAACGAGTAGAGACCCCGGGCGCTTTGTCTCTATGGTATACTAACTTGCATCTTCTCTACTCCTTCTGTGTTCTTGCCAGCCTGATGTTTCGTCTTGTTGTTCTCGTTTTTTTTTTCGAACTGAAATTATAAACTGAACAGTCAGTCATTCCAGTTCAGTTTGTACAGTAGATATCCAGGGCAAATAAGAGTAACAATAAACAGTACAATGAAATAAGAAGGGTAAATAAATAAAGGAAAGGAAAAAAGAGGGATGTGACAGACTTCATAACAACTTTGTACTTGAAAGTTGTAATTATGACAGCTCGTTTGTTAAAAGCTTCTGAATGAATTTCAATCAATGATAAACCTTTTTTTTTATTAATTTAAGAGAGTTTAAGTAATATTCAATTTCAATCAAAACAAATTAAATGATGGGGTTGAGTTTTGAAATTTACATTTATGTAAATGAAATTTCCTGATATAAAGATTGACGATGTCTTGTTGTTCTTAATAAAGTTGGATTTTTAAAAAGTGACGTTGTCTTCTCCCGCCCACACTGGGACGGCGTCCCGACCGTCTCAGGTCTTAAGTGAGAGATTTCCTGTTTGACGTTATTTATGTCACAGATGTCATAAAAGCGCATTCTACTGTTTTCTACTGTCTCGTTACAGGGTACGTTTATTTAGGTATGTTCCACTTTATTGGTTTTTACTCCTGTGAGCCGTTTTGTTTCACTTATATGTTTTTCTGACGGAGCTGTAACTAAAATGAAACTGTTTAAAAAAGCAGCGTGGGGATATCAATTTTAGGACTTTGTTCACTCGTCTTTATTACTGTGTAACATTAGCTGTAGTAACAATTTAATGCACAGTTGTCGTATGTTAGGTTTGTAGTTTTTGTCTGCAGTTACATTTTACGCACCTCATCCCAGTGTTGGGGTAATTTATCAAACTCATATCCTGATATTGTCCGGGAACAAAATGAGAGTTTAACATTGAACTTTAGATTTTGTTTGTAATGAAATAGAGAGATTCATTTTGTCCTTTGTACTATAAAATGGGTGTATATGGTTTTTGTTTCGCTATGAGCTACATCTTAAGTTTGGTTTAGCTTCTGCTTTTTTGTGTGGATACATCAGAATCTGCTTCATGTCAGGCTGTGCCTCCATGCACCCAACAATATAAACTGCATTGAACCAAACAATTAATATTCATGTGAGCAACGTCCTAGTTTGACCTTGCACAGTTTGGCGTGCTCTGTTAGACTGTTAGGAGTCACAGGGTGTTTTGTCCTCTTTCTGTGGTGACTTCTTTCTCTGTTCTGTGCACAGGAACATGGCTGATGGTGACACGCAGAGGGAGGGGGACGTGGTGGATGCCAGCCTCTTCAAATTGTGGTAACTATTGTGCATTACTGCTCACTGTCTGACTCCGCGTACAGTCATATGAAACATAAAGTTTCTGCAGGATGCTGTACAGTCTGTGAAAAACATGCACACCCAATGATTCAGCAGCTTGCAGAACCACGTTTAGCCACACAAGCTTGAAGTAATTGTTTTCTGTATAAGCAAATATTCCTCTACAGTGATGTCCTTATCAGTTCATCACAATTTTGGCTCGCTCTTCTTTGCTACATTGCCTCAGTTCATTGAGACTTTGCAGGCATTTATTTATGCACAGCTCTCTTCGGGTCTCGTTACAGGACTTCGGGTGATTGCAGCACGTTGATTCTTTGCTTTTTCAGCCTTTCTGTTCTAGATTTGCCGGTGCCATCAGGATCATATGAGCCTTAGCTTTAGCTATTAGGCAGATGGCCTCACAGTTCATTTTAGAATAATTTGCTATGCAGAGGAGTTGATGATTGACTCAATGCCTGTCTGCTTGGTGCACAGGTCCTGTATCTGCAAACCAAGCCCAAATCATCCCCCTCAGTCAGCATGAGGTGCTCTTTTTGGTTTTCTCCAGATATGTGAAACCCTGCTACCGTGTTCTTTTTAGAGAGAAGAGGCTTTCTTCTTCCAAACAAGCTGCACTTTTTCTAATTTTCCTGTCATTAACCTTTCATTTCATCATTTAACTTACTAAGTGTTGTTTTTCTAATTTTTCTGAGCATTGCCTGACTCCTGGAAACAATTTTGGCATTGTAGTAACACCTGACCTAAACAAAGATATTTATCTACAATATGTATCTGCACAGTTGTTAAAATGTTCTTCTAAGTATGATGCCCGCTAAACAAGTTCTTAAGTTCTTCAGTGAAGGGTAATCACATTGTTTGTGTGTACACTTTCAGGAAACAAGCAAATGCAGGAAAGGGTAAGACCAAGGAAACGAACAGCAGCAGACCAGAAGCCTCTGACTCTTACCGCTACAAGATGGACTACCCATGCATCGGCACCTGTTTGGTTATCAACAACAAGAACTTCCACCCAACAATAGGTAACAGTGGGTCCATCCTGCCGCTCGGGCCACACTGACTCACACACTAATAGATTTGGCCTCTGCCTGGGCCTTCCTGTTGCCATAGTCACCACTGTGATTGACTACTGCTGTCTTTCATGGAGTTACAGCGGAGAGGAATCGTGCTGTGACAGTTTAAAGAAACACTTGATTAAAAAGACAAAAAGAAACTGGAGTTTGTGTCATTGCTACAAAGATCAGGCTCAGTGTTATCAGTCCAAAGTGTCACAGTCAGGGTGAAGTCAGGATACACGTCCTCTTTGAAAATACACTGAAGACGCTGATGTTTACAGCGCGCTGCCTTTTCGCTGGTGTGTCTCTGCAGGGATGAGCACTCGTGATGGCACAGATGTTGATGCTGCCAATGTTGAGAACACCTTCAGTAAGCTGGGCTACAAGGTCAAAGTGCACCATAACCAGACTGCGGCGCAGATGAAGAAACTAATGCTAGATGGTAAGAAGAGTTTTGGCTCATTCATGTTTACGTGTGTGTGGAGAACGATCCTCCCTGTGCCGTTATGCTGAAGTCAGTTTGTCAGCTGATACTGTCTGCAGCTGGATCATGTTTGTGATTCAGTTTAATGCTCGTTTACTCTTTTTGCACTGTGAAAGAGACACTCCAAATGCAACAGCAGGTGTATGTGCAGTCAAATAAATTTAGATAGATAGATGTGGAAAAACTTAATTTTGACCAGGTTTTAAAAAGACCTGATGTTAATGAGCAACTATAGAAACAGCACTCTCAACACCTGAAGATTACGATTTTTTTAAACTATGCAGTTTAAATTATTCAGGATTTATATCTGTTTAATTTCTTTCCTAAATGGTTCCTTGTGATTGTTCAGTCAAAGCTTCATCATCATCATGTGACCCTAAACCTGACTGTAGGGAATAAACCACGCAGAATTTATGCGAAACTGCAGGAACCGTCTGACGATGAATGAATAAATAAACACTTTAAATATATTACATAGATGACTTAACTGTAGTTTTAATAATAATTTGAGAATTGCATCATTTTAAAATGCAGTAAATTGCTGCGTTAACCGCCAGCGCTCTGCACATCTCTGATAAATCGCTGCAGTAACTTTAAGGCCAGCATTTACAGACAGGTCAGAGAGGCAGAGCATCAAATCAATCACACATAGCTGATCGTTCAAACAGAAGGCCAACGACTTCCAAACACAAATATCCGCTCGATGCCGGCTGTGATTCGAACACATGTAAACGCTATTCCAGGATTCAGAGACAGAAAGTATTTACAGAACTCTGTTACAAAAACAATCATTTTCTTTTTTCCCCTTCAAACTTTATGACAAAGTTCAAATGAGGGACTTTTGCTTTTCTCATTTTAGCGCTCATAATTCAGCGGCCGCGCTTCGTTTGAATATCATCGCCTCTTAATGATCGAAGAGATAAGCAGCAAAGCCCGTCTCTGCCTGTCTGTGAAGCCTTCTTAGTGCCATCGGTGTGTTTTGACCTTTAATAAAATGAATCACAAAAGAGTTTTCGATTTTTATTTTACTGTTAAAATCCGTTTTTAAAAGTATGCGGTCCAGAGTGTGTTACGAAAACTGTTGTTAATACATCTGCAAATTTTGTGACATCATGTTGAATTTATCACAGAGTGTAACTTACAGAGTAACTTAACAGTAATTCCTTTAAAAAGAAGAAGTTGGTGCAACGATCTGACAACACGCCTGTTTATTTTATTTCAAATTGTCGGTGTTAACAGAAACAACGAAAACTGAATATCAAGCAGGAAAATCTTAAACGTATGGAATTCACATGTCAGGATAGACTGCTTCTTTTTTGTAGTCCTCTAATGTCCCGTTTTTGGGAAGACACCATGAGGTTGCTTCTGTTTGCTCAGTCCTGCCTCAAAAAGTCTGAGTGGTCAAACTATACATTTACAATGAAAGCTTTCAAAAGAATGTGAATTTCAGTTTTATTTATTCAGTATTGAATCTAAACTGTGGCCTCAACGTGCTTTATATTATAAGGTAAAGACCCTATAATAATGCTGAGAAGGTCATCTATAGCTAACTGTCCAAGTCCAAGTTTTTTGGAAGAAAGCGCCATCTCCTGGTGGAACCCTGGAATTTAGTGAAATGGGCGTGTTACAGGGTAAAAATAGATCCACTCCAAGGCTGACCCCTGGCTGACCCCTGGCTGTAAGTGAAAATTTGTGCAAGAACACAACTGAAGTAAATCCTCAGGAACAGAGAAGGGTACTTTGAGCTGCTCTTTATTTCTAAGTGGATCAGTCCAGAGGATGGATCCACATGATGGCTGAGCACAGCTTTATGCTGGATGGCCTTCCTGACACGACCCTCACATATACTGGGAGCAGGACAGTGAGTACACAAACCTGTGTGTGTGTCTCCTCTTGAATCAGGGATGTTTTGTATGTACAAGGTTACAAAGTGTTAACCCCAACACCATGACGCAAGATCTCACAACCAATTATGAGTTAATCAGAGGCTGTTTGTGTGTTGCCACTGCCCAAGCAACACACCTGAGTTCATTACACTCAGCTGCCCCTCGACTCAGTCAGCTACACCCTCCCCACCCTGCTCCAGAGACATGTGGCCCGTACTCAGGAATAAATCAATCCCACGTCTATGCTGCTCAACCAGCTTCCTGTTAAACGCCATAACTGACTTTAACCTGCTGTCTTCAGATTTCCAGCCTGGATCTTATCACCCTGTCCAAGTTTCTTACCTTATCTTAAATCATTTTTAACTTGATATGCAAAATGTTAGAACTGAGAATGGTGTTCATTCTTTTTCACGTGGCTGTAAAAGTGAGTTAACAAAGTGAGTTAACAAGCCACCTGCGCCCTCCTAATTGACCAAAGCTTTGTGTTTCTGCTAGCAGTTGTTAGAGGGCCATGCTAACTAACAAATAAAAGCAGACTGGACTGTTTGGGAGTGTGAGCTTTAATAGGCAGGAGCTCCAACAGCGTACATGTACTGCAGAAATATGAAGTCCCTAAAAGCCTAAACCTATTTTAGTAGCACTCTTTAAAACAACTGGACTAATAACTCATATTGTTTCCCATCTACTCTGCTGTGTTTCCAGCATCCAAAGAGGACCACAAGAACAATGCATCATTCGTGTGTGTGCTGCTTAGTCATGGAGATGAGGGTGTGATTTACGGCACCGATGGCCCCGAAAGGTTCGATACCCTGGCAAAGTGCTTCAGAGGAGACTACTGTGCGGGTCTGGTGGGGAAGCCAAAGCTCTTCTTCATTCAGGTTAGTTAATTATGCCAGTGTGCTACACTTCTGTGAATACAGTCATGTTTTCATTTGTATTTGATCAAGTTGTAAAATATTTCCATTGATCGTAATTTGCTTTGGAACTTTGATAAGGAGTCTAAACTCACTTTCAATGAGAAAAAGCTAATTACTACATGTTACAACATTTAGACTATGTTCCCTTTCTACAGTTGATGCCACCGTAAAACAGGTGCAGCTAATACCAAATACTAGAGAGCAGTTATCCCCATTTCCTCAGGAGGCGTAGCCTTTTGCCAGTCTTCCTTCTAAATGACAAGTTCCTCTTAATAATGTTACACTGTGTCACTGCACCATCTTGTGGTACGCATTGGTATTACACCCAGCTCTACTTCAACATGAGTCCTGAGACCCAGCCGACTCATTTTGTCCTCTGTATTGGTCAAAATGAGTTCAACTGAAAGATGCTTGTTTTCCTCAGTATTCAGGAGGATGACAGACACAGTTTTTTCCTGAAATTCTGTTTTTGGTTTAGTCCATTCTGGAAAGTTATAACAACTTTTAAACACACGGATGTACACGCCTGCTTGACTGTGACAACCTGAATGCTTTTGGTGCTAAGATTTAAAATACTTGCAAAAAACTGGATGTCTAGCTGTACATTACATCCTCCATCCACCAGAAACATTCAGGTAGTTACGCCTAGCTTATTCCCAGCCACCTCACCTGGAGCAGTCAGCTGGGTAGGGGAGGTCTGGCCATCTCTGCTTGGATTAGTGTACCTGCGACACAGAGATGGATAAGTGACAGAAAATGAATGGATGTATGGAGCTTTTGAAAAAGTACATACAAGCTGCTTTTATCAAATTTGACTGGTGACTTTATACAGATGTTTATACAGATGTTTCAAGATGTTTGCCAAGTGGAGCTTCAAGAAGGGCTTTGATAATATCTGCTTCTCCTTCCTTTTCAGGCATGCCGTGGTACAAACCTGGATGAGGGAGTCATTGAGACCGACAGTGTAGGAGACGAGCAGACGTCTGAGAAGATTCCTGTGGAGGCCGACTTCTTATACGCCTATTCCACCGCTCCAGGTACAAACAGTGTTTTCTGTTATCTTAATAGGCTACATCACATTTTGGCTAAAGGGTGGACTCACATGGAAGGCAGTGGGAAAAGGTGAGCTTTATTTGAACTGATGGCAAAGTCCATAAAAAAGACCAAAAAAAGTGCAAATAATACTTGATCTCCAAAAAATTAAAAGATAAGAAATGGCAGGTAAAACATAGACACTTTGCTAAAGAACACAGGAGAGACAGGGATTTACACGCTTACTGCGATAAGATCAATGCTTTAAGCTCAGGATGTAGCCCACATACAGAAATGGGACATTAAAATATATGCCTCAAACATGTGGGAGAAAAAAAGGGGGAAACTATTAGGATAATGACACAAGAGATGTCAAACTAAATGCAAAACACAGGAGACAATGACTACCAAAATAAGAGAGGAAATGAAAACAAGCCACTGAAACAGGGAGATGTGGATACAAGAACGTTATGGGATGAATAACAATAAAAGAACAAACTCTAACTAAGAAGAAAAGAGGAACAGGATACTAATGAAAAAACCCAATGAAAACAGACAGAAACAATATCAAGAACCAGACGACCTGAAGAAAGAATGGAAATAAAAACCCCAAAATTAAACACAACTCTGAAAACTCTGAGTTCAGAAACAGACAGACGTGCCAAATATAGACACTTTTAACTTGAAAAGGCAACTGATGCAGGACAGCAGAGTGTCGTGATCTATGACATAAATCATCATCAATTTAACATTTCTGGACACACTTTAGTGACCACTAAACCTCTGTGATTTTTTTTTTTACAATAACTAGTTTAGCTTTTCGTGGATTTTGACTCTGGAATATCTGTTTTTAATTTGTTGTATGAATAAAATACAACTCTTCATTATACTCAGACATCTTTCATGGTTCATTTTTGAGGTATATTTTTTTCTGCTCCAGTACCATCATTTAGCTAACTGATTTGACTGGGCTGGATATATAATTAAATGTCTTAATACAGCCTTTAGGTGATCAGTCGGCTAAAGTAACAGCTAAGATGACTGTGGCAAGGACCACACACACACACACAGCGTTGTCAGTTTATTCTGTTTATTGTCTATGGCAGTAGATTCTGTTGCTTTGGTGCTCTGCATGCTGGAAACGGTCACTCCAAGGCTGCTGCCACACACACGTTTTTCTGCTCTGCTGTCACTGAAAAAGAACTGAGCCAGCACACCTGTGTTTCAACCACGCCTTCCTGTGAGCTCACTGTGTTGTCCCTCCCCTGCAGCAGGCCAGAGGCCACACCTCTGCCACAATGACTAACAACCGTAACTTACCTCTAAACAATGTGTTGCTTTCTCACTCACTGCAACCTACATGGCTCTGCTTGATGCTGCTGAGTCACATGACCGCAGGAGATCGGAATGCAGTAGAGCAGGGAGGAGGGGCGGAGCAAAGTGTGCCTGCATGAGAGGAGCATTGCTTCCACATGTCTCCTTTCTGATGAATGGGAGCAACTTACAGGGGACAGACAAACTAAAGCATTGAGCGTATTGGGCTAGTATTGATCCAATACCAGCCCCGGTATCAGTTCTATCGATATCTTACTGCATAAAATGATATTAAATTAAATTGAGTACCATGGTAGTAATAATAAACACACAGCTGAACTAAACAGATGCCCTCCCATAGATCAGTGTTTTGTATCAGTCACCAGTCCAGCTACTATTAGTGTCAGGATTGTGTATTATAGTGAACGATCGCCTCCTCGTTGTGTTTTCTAAGAGCGCTAACACTGTCAGTCGTCCTGCAGGATACTACTCATGGAGAAACACAACCTACGGCTCCTGGTTCATACTGATGTTGTGTGAGATGTTGGAGCGCTACAGTGGGAAGCTGGATCTGATGCAGATCATGACGCGAGTCAACTACGGTGTTTCACGCTACTTCGAGTCCTCCAGCAACCTGCCTGGCTTTGGTTGCAATAAGCAGATCCCCTGTATCGTCTCTATGTTGACCAAAGACTTTTACTTCCCCGTCTAGATTTACATGGTTGAACCTCAATCATCTTTGTTCTCCTTGACCAAATGCAAAGTCTGGTGCTGTGCTGCAGCTGATGCAAAGCAGGATGATAGTGATTTAAATGTGACTAAACCCATTTGCACAATTGGCACTTAGATTAGTGATACTTTCATTGATTTTAGTGTTTTAGTGTTGGATGTATGTTTGTATTAAAGTGAAAAAAAAACCCCTTAACAGTGTTGCGACAGTTTCCATCTGTATTTTCTGCGCGCTCCGCACGTTTTCGCTGTCTGTCGTAGGTTTATGTTTTGTCGGCCTAACAATGGCATGTTTTTGGACCTCATATTGAGAGTTCCAGTGAACATCTACCAAACTCAGGTTCAACACTTTGAATCATCAGTTCTTTCTGAGCCTTTGAAAATGGGAGGTTATGTGTAAAACATTTAATTCAATACATGTGTTAAAATCCTTGAATTGAAGCTGAAGGTCCGCACTTCAGTCACATCTTCTTTGTTTGACTTAAAGTCCACTCTGGTGGCGTGCAGAAGCAGCAGTCCACACACTCATAGAGCTGACCATATGACAGGCCAGATGTTTTGTATTTTGAACCAACGGTGTGAACATGCAGCCACTAGAGGAGGCCAGAGGAACAACTAACGTGGTTCTCAGAGGCCTTTAATGACTCAGCAGGTTTCAGGAACTGAAACTGTGGCCCAGTTTAACCCTTGATGCACCGACCATGTGGAAGTGCTAATTTGAAAACGAGAAAAGAAATAAGACTTTCTGTTTAGACAGTTGCCAGCTTCTTCTTCTTCTTTTTCTAATTCTTCCGTTTTTCTTTTTAACCGTCTGTATTCTGCGTAGAAGGCAGCTTCTGTCCGGGGCCCACTGCTGTGAAATACAAACTCCTTGGATAGGTTTGTCAGACCCCTCCCCGGGCTCAGCTGTGTGTGTCACAGAGATAACCCTGACCCCGTGGAGAGCTGGCACACACTTTCCATTTGTTGAGGATCGAGTGTGGAGGTTGGAGCTTCTCAGACATCACGTTTTCCATTCCCAGATTTTGACAAAGCTGTTTTCTCTTTGATGTAAACAGAAACAGTGTGCGGAGTGACTCACCGGCAGAACAAATAACACCAAATGTAACAATCATAAACGAATGGGGAAATTCAGTACGTGTGAGTGTGCCAGTGGAAGCCTTATCTTCAGAGTTTCCATTAAAAACAGACACATGTCATGCATACATGCTGCTGTGTTGGGAATCTGTCGATCTGCTGCTAGCTTGCAGACATTTTCATGTGAAACTGCACAGCTCAGTTTCGATTCTTCTTTTGAAAGAATGAACGGAATCACTGCGTGCACTACTCTAAACTGCAGCTTGACTCTGGGCCACAGCTACACACTTAGAGGAGAAACATTACAAACGTGTCCTTTCCACACAACGGCAGGTGTGCTGCTGCCAACCCCTTAAACACACACACAATTGTGAGAAGTTTCTAGTTTCGTTTCCAGTTGCAGTGGCGGAGAAAGAAGAGGAGCTGTGGGGGCGACGAAGGGAGAGAGACACAGAGGAAGTGAAAATGAAATTCAGCTCAAAGATCGTCCATGTCCTAAGAATAAACGATTTGGGGGGAGGGGGAGTCATTTCCGTCGTGTTTCACCTGCTTGCACATTTAAACACGTATTTGCTACAGTTAGCCAGGACATGTATTCAGGTACTAGTCACTGAGCTATGTATATGTAGCCTAGTCGTGCAGTGATTTAATGTTGGTGTTTTGCAGTGGCGTGGCAAGGTGAATGGTAAAAAAGATAATTAAAAACCCCAAAACACAACGGAGTGAGCCATCTTCGCTTTGGCGTGTGCGAGCGCACGCGAGACTTCACGACGCTCGAGACCGACCCAAAGCGAGAGCACGAGAGCAGGAGGGGGATTTCCAGCTCTGGCCCCCACTTCCCGAAGCGGCCGTTGTTTTGCTTTCGGTCTGAATGCAGAAACAGAAATAAACGACGACCACACTTTCCCTTTTCCACTTAAAACCTCGAACACGTTAATCTGTCCGGCTTTGGCTGCTCTTCTTATTCCGACAGCGGGACTGTGGAGCCCGAGGCCGTCCAAATCTAACAGGTAACATCTTATTTCCGCATATTAACGTCGCTGCCTTGCGCTCCCCTGGCCACACTGACTTCCTACAGGGCGACATGACGGATCCCTAGCTCAAGTGAAAGTAGTTCTGCAGTTTGTCTCCGCGTTTCATGACTCGGTATGGGATTTATTTTCACTTTTGACTTCGTTGTTTTGGGTCAGCTCGGTGGCAGGCGGTAGACACACAGGGCGCGATAAACTTCTGACTTGACCCCTGCTGCTAAAGCAGACTCGACTCCAGAACAAACACGTTACTAACGTTGGAAAGTCAGCGCTGATGTGGCTGTTTACCTGGAATTGTTAATATTTGCTAGCATCCTCCCGCTCTTTGAAGTGTACAGTGTTTATCTGTTTGTAACTGTGTGTATTTACCGTGTTATAATGTGAGTAGCAGCGGGACTGAGCCGTGAACAGTATTCAGGTCTTAGTGCGTGTTATTTACACTGAAAACACTACAAGTGTTATATTGTCTGCACTCCGTGACAGGTAACTTACCATGTTTAGCAGTATAAAAATAAATGTGCTATACACTGAAGAAATAATAATAGTAATACTATTAATAATTTAAAAAGTAGTATTGATGTTATAATATTGAATGTTATATTTTTAAATGTACAGTTGGACTATATTTGTGTAGACACCGTTATGTACACAGTGTAAATACATATTTCAACTCTTCTTGATCCAATTTTTCCGCATTATCAGCAGCAAATGTTCCTCATTGTGCAATTAGTAAAAAACAGAAGAAAGCACACATAGTGCCACGCACTGTGATGACATGTTGGTCAGAAATCAGTATAGTTTGCGTCAACGGTTTAACCGCATTCATTTAACCCTAAAGTCCCGCTGTGATGATTCCCCCTTCCACCTATTAAACATCTGCTTATTGAAATGTATTCACACATGTGCTGTTCTCTCAGAGGACTTAGATGCAGTCTGTCTCTCTGAAAAACGGAGCGGAAACATGACATAGTGCTGAGTTAAGTGAATTTGGCGAATGCGTTAAAATAGATCTGGGTCTTTTTTTCCCTTCAATTGTCTTTCTGTTAGAAAATGTCTTCTGTCAGCGTCACATACTCTGAAATAAAACTGTAAGTTTTTACAAGTATATCTGTAGTTAAACTGCATGTCTGTGAATGATGAAAATATTAATAAAATATTAATATCCACAGACGTAATTTAAGAACAAACAAATGCTCGTATTTGTGAATGTGAGCGTGCTGCTTTTAACGTGTGAAGTAAGCTGCGGTCAGAACTTGGGTGATAAATCAGGATGAAGAGATACCTGGGTCGTTTTTACTATATATGAACTAATGAGCTGTCTTATCTGTGAATAAATAAATAAATTTCTTGTCCTGAGTCGCTAGTGTGACTGTAAGTAACCTGTGTGAATGATTTCTAACTGATGCTGTGTGTCATGTAGTCTGCTGGGAACACCTGAGACGGTTGTCTGTCTTTCCAAGACCAGCAAAGTCTGCTTTTGAAGCGCACAGCACAGTTTGTTTGCACAGTGATCGGTGCAGCGCCCCCTGTTGCATCTGAGTTAAACAGCAATGGCACATTTTATCATATGTAAACTTAATGTGCTTCATGTATAAGATAAAAACATGTAGGATTACAGTGCTTTAAAGTAAACAAGTGTAAGCCTGTGCAAACAAAAAAGGTTTTGAGTCTGTTTTTGAATGCTGCATGCACAGGTGTAACTGATCTCAGGTCAGCAGTAACTGAAGCACCCGCAGCATACTTGGATCTGCTTGTAGGAGCGTTTGCCCTGCACCTGATGGCAGCTTGACTGGGTTGTTAACAGTGAGCAAGTCAAAGATGCTTCAGGTGTGCAAACCACTGAGAGCTTAGTGCGCTGATAGGACTTTAAAGGTGAAATATCAGTTTGTGTTTGCTGAAGTCATTTGCGTTGAGATTTGGTGACACAAAGCTGTCTCTTATTGATATTTGCGTGGGTTGTTTAGTTTTCATTTTTGTGCACCAGGGGCTGTGTTGAATTGGGACGTGGGCCCTGTGTTTTGCCCATGTGTGCCATTTGTGCTGCACTCCTTGTATCTTTTTCAGCTTGTGTTTTCTGTAGTGATATTGTGAGCTTTCACTGAGCAGACTCTGAAAGACAGAGACAGCTGAAAGGCTCAGCCTTGTTTGATATTTTGGATTTGATGCTGTGCTGTTTCACCTTGTTTAACCTGTTGGGGAAGCACTGCGCTGGCAGGGAGTGTCTGCCTGACTGGACTTTGATCAGGTTTGTGTGCAGAGATCATCACTCTGCCCTTAAATCAAATGTAGCGACATGGGTGGGCTAAAGTTTTCTGGGACGGTTATGAGCTCTGTGTTCATTTTTTCCTCTTGGTCCATTGTTGTTTCATTTCAGGTGTCGTTCTCTGGAACAGTGTGAGGCTGAGTGTAGAGCTACAAACATGAGCTGACATTTTTATTTATGAATCGTGTTTTATGGCTGCTGTTCTTTGCGAACACATTAAAGAGCCTGGCCAAGAGTTTTATCTTTACAAGCACACACAGATCTGATTCAACTGTGTTCCACACCTCACTCTGAAATGATGACTATGAATGGGGAAAAAACATCAGTGGGGGGCTGCTATGCTAATTTCCAGCTCTACTTGAGTAGCTCTGGGTGATTCATGGTTCAGAATCGTTCTTGTTTGTCGTTGGCTCGGTGCAGCCGCTCCGTTCATCCTGTGTGAAACAAGATTTTTTAAGTGTTCTTGCACAGTGAGCATCACGGCAGATCACGTATTACAGCATTTCTGTTTTTTTTTTTAAAAGTTGCTACACTATGCTATGTGTAAAAAAACATCTTTGAATCCCAGTATCAATACCAGTGCTCACACATTCATAATAACGTTTCTGTGTGTGTGACTTCACAGACCGCAATGCCAGTAGAACGAATGAGGATGAGACCCTGGTTACAGGAACAAATCGAATCCTGTCAGATTCCAGGGCTGAAATGGCTTAACAAAGTGAGTGTTGTCACACACACACACACACACACACACACACACACACACACACACACACACACACACACACACACACACACACACACTCTGAAATTCAAGATGATGTAAACAATGTAAATTGTTTGTAGGAGAAGAGGATCTTCCAGATTCCTTGGATGCACGCTGCCCGTCATGGCTGGGACCTGGAGAAAGATGCTCCGCTCTTCATGAGATGGGCCATACACACGGGTATTGCACAGATTTAACTGCAGCCTCTGCTGCTGCTTCTCCTTTTTAGCGGTTCTGATTTTCATGCCTGCTACACACTGAAACACTTCTGTGACTAAGTTCAGAGAGTTTTGATTTATAAAATGCCTCATTTCGATATCACTGGGAGTAGTGTTCCTCTTCGTTGCTAACCCCAGTCAGTAACATTCAAAAAGGATCCAAGTTGAGCTTCACTTAAACGGAGAACAGTAACATCAGGAAATTCTTGTTTGTTTACCGTCCCTAAAATAATGAGATCCTTTTGCATTTGTTTGACTCCATATTTTTCACCTGATGTAAACACCACGTGTGCTGGCTCTGTGCTGAACAGCTTGAGTACCTGCTCTCAGGTAACTTTGTTAGGAAGCACACAATGTCTGTGTAAGGGTAATCCCCACTGCTTTGCTACAGCAGTAAATGAGAAAACATAATCTGTGTAATCTTTGCTAGAAGGACGTTTGAAGACTGTCAGATGATGTCTCCCAATCGCTTTTTACATTTCAGTTTGGTTGGTATGTGAGAACATATGATGTAAAATGTCCAACTTTTGCTCCTTGGTGGTAAAGAACCCCTCTAAAAATTCCCAGATCCAGATCAAACGTTAATCACTGCTAAGCTGCGTAAACCCTCACCTCGGAGTAATCCTGCTAACAAACAAAGCAAACCAGTCACATGACCTCATTGGTGGATAATATTAGGGAAATTGTTACATTGTTTAAATATTTCAGGTTAATTTTTCCACTGAGAGAAATGCTACTTTATTACAGATCGAGCTAAAAGCAGCTGCAGTCTTGTTGGTGGTGCCTGTACTTGATTGCAATAGTTAGTTTGACCAATAAATGGTCTAATTGTATCATATTAAATGAGTTTATGTAATAAGACAAAGAAATATATTTTCCTTGTTTTTTCACTATGATCTGACTTGAAGTGAACATGTCACATAATACCAGCTGCTGTAAAATTAAACAGCAAAAACTAACCAAGTAGAGTCTTTGTAGCTAATATTATAGAGTCAACAAGAGTCAGTATGCATACTGGTAACACTGGTTAGCTGAGAAATGATCGCCTCCATAGTGATGAAGCTGTTCTCTGAAATCCACCACAAAAAGACAAATTAGTGATTTTTTTCCTTCTTGTGTCTGAATCAGGTAAATACCAGCCAGGTGTAGACCGTCCTGATCCAAAGACATGGAAGGCTAATTTTCGCTGTGCCATGAACAGCCTGCCAGACATCGAGGAGGTAAAGGACAAAAGCATCAAAAAGGGAACCAATGCCTTCAGAGTTTATAAGATGCTCTCCTCCTCAGAGAGAAATGCCAAGAAAGGTGAGTGCTGCTGCTGTCGTCATAAATTCTTTCAGTTTTATCATTCTGCCTCGAAACTCAATTGTTTCCTCATTTTTGTTGTTTGAGGTTACTGGAAACTCAGTTGAATGTTTTTTTTTTCTTTTTTTTTCTAGGAAAGAAGAAGGCAGACAAGGAGAGAAAGTCCAAAGGAAATAAAGAGGTAGATAAACGTACGGGATGGAGATCACATCAATGCTACAGTAGGATGTAGAGGAATGAAACAGCAAAGATAGAGATCCTGGAGCAGTGCTGGCGACCAGCAGCATGTTAGAACAATCATGTTTCTTCAGGATTAGTTATTTCAAACTTTAACCTGCAGCTGATAAGCAGCTTTTCCTCCTGGCTGGTTTGGTAACACGTTTGGTATGACAGAAATGGTTTACTAAGAAGTGTTGTGAGCGCTTTTTCCTGCCAAGGCAAAGAAAACACTTCTGGAAATGACACGCAGCCTTTGAGCTGGCGACCTGCCATTTTATCTTACTTTGAACAATCAACTGTTGCTCAGTTCCACACATGACAGAGAAATTTACCAGGAAAAAAAGGTGTGGTACCACACACTCACCGGAATTCTGTTCTGCCTGTCAGAAGTCCGACCGGTAACTGCTGCTTGTATCGCACTGATGAATAGGTGGATCTTGAAGCTTTACTTGGAGAAAAACATTTTTAAGAAAATCTGTTCAGGCATTTTTATTCTCACTTTCTGAAAGAACGAGCTTAGAAATAGGAGTCAAAAAAATCAGATATAGCAGGACATCACAGGGTCAAGCTGTTTGCTTTGGAACAGGAAATTTGAATAAGAAAAAAAAGGAAGCCGTGCACTTGTTTAATGTGGTGGGGTTGGTTAGCTCAGTATATTTTGGCAAAATGTGTTTTTATAGCAGAATTGATGCAGATATCAGGCTGTGTCTGAGTATGCTCTCTGTCAGGGCAGCTCGTTTCTAACAAAGCTGTTTATAAATCCCTTCATTTTTTAAAGTACACATATCATCTCTTTGCTGGCTCAAGGCAGTTAGAGTTTATTAAAGTTATTATATTCCTGGTACAACCTTTGGGATTTCTGATGTGTATGAATAGATGTGATGTAGATATCTCCTTTATAGACTCAAACTCTGCAGACAGTGTTTAAAACACTCAACTGTACTCAGCGTTGTGTTGATGGTCCTTTTTCCCACCACAAATGACAATGAAGCCAACATATGCATGACAGAGCAGCCAGTACCACATACTCAGTGTGATGCAAGTTTGTATTTTGGATCAAGTTAGCTGATCAGATAAGCTTTTCCATTCAATGTATTTTTGCCAATGGCAGTGCTGGGAAACCTGCAACATGATGACATGATATGATTTTCTTGACTAGTTTCAGTAGATACAACTGGCTTTCTTCTGGCTAACATTAGTATAACCACTGATGTGGACAAATTGTTTACTAACTGTTGTGTGGAGCTTGTCTGTTTAACTGTGACTCCATTTCTAATCTCACTGTTAATGCTGGGAGCAGAGGCAAGGCACTCTGGGACTGTAGCGGAAAACCCATCCAGCATCTTTCAAACAGCAGTCAGTGTGAGATAGCTGAAAGTCAGGGAAAGGCTTATTTTCTGTTTAGACACGAGCAAAAAACCATTTAATGCTTAAAAATGTGCCCACTGTAGCATTAACTTTATATATAGTTTTTTTTAATCAGTTGTATGTCTTGGCTTATTGTTTTTTCTTCTTTCTCTGCTGTATGGTCAGGTGTTTGGCGTGTTGTCTTACCGCTTATTTTGATTACTGACGTCAGCTCTTTGTTATGGAAATAAAGTGTCTTTAGACTTTGATCGTCCATCATTTAAAAATCGTTTTTCCTTCTTGAAACCAGAAGGTCAGCTCTCCATCTCCAGACAACAGTCTTCTTGAAGCTGATGCTGGACCTGTTGACTACACCAAACATGAAACAATCAAGATGGAGTCAGTGGAGCTGACAGTGACAGACAGTGTGTCAGGTATCACACCACCGTCTCTCTTTTTTTCCATTACCTTTATCCCATTTGTGTGTATGTGCTACCTGTTTGCTTTTGACCTGTGCTTACAATGACTAAGCAGATGAGTCAGGTTTGTAACACAGTGGCAGGCCTGAAGGTGTTGCATCAGAAGGAGAAATACAAGAAGCGTGAACACGCACATTATGCAATGACGAAACCCTCCCTTTCTCCACTCAGTATCATTTAACTTTTTAAAGTTTGATTGTCGTCACACCAACTACAACTTTTCACTAAGACAAGTGCTTGGAGAGGAGACATTGGTGTACTTTACTCACATATAAGGTCGTTACAGATACAAAGGATTATGAACCCACTCATCCTGACTCTTCTCTGTCCATCCTCAGTGATCCACAGTCAAGCTGAAGACCATGTGATCACCAGTGAGCAGCTGCCGTTTGTCTGTCAAACAATCGAGGTGACCACTGAGAATGAGGAGCAGACTGTTAGCTCCTCCCACCCGTACCCGCTGCAGATCTCTCCTGTGTCTATGTGCGGCGGTAAGACAACACAACTGCACCTCGCCACATTTTGTTACAAGGAGAAACATAAATACGTTAGTTAGGGTGGAGCAGGCTCGTAGGAGTGTCCGCTGTGTAGTTATTCAAAGGAGCTTTGACCACATAGTAACCTTTTTTAGAGCAGCGCTACGAATGCAGACACAGAGCACGCTCTGTAGAGTGAAGAGCGGTGGCATTATCTTGGTGTCAAGATCAGATCAGTTGTTTTTTCTCTCTCTTTAAATGACACTTGCTCTGTGCCTCCATCAACTTGTGAAATATCGAAACTGTGACCTGATGACCTGCTGATACCAGTCAGAGCACTGTCTTAGGTTTCAACATCCACCAGCATCTTTCCTACGCCCTACCTGTAGAGAACTAACAAGGCAAAGCTGCTCATCCAGCTGTAGAGAGGAGGAAAACCTGCTCCTGTTAAACAGATCTCTAACTGTGATTATTATGTGTGGGGCTGTGAGGTTATTGTACTTGAGCCTCACTGATTTGCCATTACTCATTTCATCAGCACCCTCTTTTCTGTGTATGTGTAGCTATCGTTTTTTCTTCCCCCAGTCAGTCGTTCAGGCAGAGCTGCCTCTTTCAGTTTGTAGTGGACTATCAGAGTCTTCATCTTCCTTTTTCTGCTTCTTATTTCTTTCTCGTGTTTCTTAAATTGCACCATTACTTTATGAGTCAGGGTGCAAATGGACGTCATTCATGTATCCCTTGTTTTCTTGAGAACAGTACTGGCGGATGCTGGCGTAGTCAGTTTGGTTTTCTGCTGTAAATCATGGTTTTAACTGAACGTAATTTTTCTGCATGTTTTTCCCTTTGATGTGTGTGACGTAAGAGGGAGTAATAGTTGTGTGCATGTCTCTTTTTGAACAGGCAGCGACACAGAAAGTGATACAGAAAACATCAAAGAGGTTAGTATCTGATTATACGTACAGGGGAGAGAGTAATAACTGAATCATTAACCGGTCTGATTTTCAGATAAACAGGTTTTTACCTGTTTCAACCGTACGGCTTGAACAAGGCGTGTGATTGTGTGTGTGCACGTGTGGCTACTTCTCTGAGCACCGCTTTGAGTTTAAAGCTCCAGGTGAAGTTTGCCTACCAGACCACAAGAGTCCTGTTATGTGTGTGTGTGTGTGTGTGTGTGTGTGTGTGCGTAATGTTCCTGTAATGTTAAGTGAGAGTGAGAAAAGGGAGGGTCTTGTCAGGAACTACTGCTTTCAAATATTAACAGTTTGATATGAAGCTGTCTTTTGTAGTCTAATCTACACACACACACACACACACACACACACACACACACACACACACACACACACACACACACACACACACACACACACACACACACACACACAAATACCTACACATGTGTTTTGGCTCACAATAATATGGAACCTTTTTATATAAAGTCAGACAGTTAAAGAATAAAACAGAACAAAAACAAATAAAGAAAAAATAACAGTAAAAGATTAATAACTAAACCAAACCAGCAGATTTCTGTCACAAGACTTAAGGTTTATTTTCTAATCACACGAAACAAATTTATGCTCCTTTGAGAACCAAACACATTATTTATAACAGGCTTCGTAAAATCACCTGTTTGCAGGCCTGTACGTGACAGCCACACAGTCCATATGTCTTACTTGTCATGTGCATGCGTAATCATACGCACACACTCCCAGACAGGTCACATTTTCAATGGTTTCATGTTTAACCTTTGTAGCAATAAATACAGCAGGAAGCGTTGGTATTAGCAATGTCACCTCACAACAATGAGGCTCGTGGTTCAAATCCCAACTCGAGCCTTTCTGTGGGTTTGCAGCAGGTATTCCGGCTTGTTCCCACAGCCCAAAAACATGCATGTCAGGTTAAGTGCTAATTGTAATTTATGTGAGGCACAGCAAGTGCATACAATAGAGTGCTGTTTGATAAATGGTACTCTACTTCAGCCCTTCTTACTAGGTCTAAGTGCTTTCTATCAAACATTCACACTCGCATCAAATAGCAACTTGGGGTTCAGTATCTTGCCCAAGAATACTCTGACATGCAAGCTGGAGGAGCCAGGGATCAAACCACCAACCTTCCAGCTGTTAGATGACCTGCTCTGTCTCCTCAGCTACAGCAGCCCCGATATTATATGAATGTGTGACATGTAAAGCAGGCTAAGGAGCTTGGAAAGAAAAGCCTCTGGACTTCTTTAAATTGGTCAAATGGTGGAAGAGTCCCAGATTTAAGGCCTGTGGGAGTGTCCCACCAAGAGGGACATGGACCCCCTATTGATCCTCCACCTAATCACACGAACCAAGGTGTGAAAACAGGTGGAGGTCACAATGGGCCATGGTTTCAGGTGAACCTGCTGTGAAACCTAGCTCCACCCTGTCATGTGATTTCCTTTTTGGCTTGTGTGATTAGGTAGAAGATCATTAGGGGGTCCATGTCCCTCTAGGGAGGCCACTCCCACAGGGCTTAAATCTGGGACTCTCCACAATTTGACGTTCCAACTGAAGAAGCTTCTGGGATTAGAGGTGAAACGTGTTCAAGCAACTTACAGAAGTCCAGATGCTTTTCTTTGCAAGCTCCTTAGACTACGATGACCTGGGTGACTGAGAACCTTCACAGACAAACTTGTAATATAGAGCGTTGTAGGTGTTTGCCTTTTACATTATTTCTTAAATCTCCAAAAAATTATCATCATATTTCTACATCACCTTCTTCTTTTGTCTTCCAGGGTATCGGTGCTGCCTGGAGGCGGGACTACAGCACATCAGTTCTCAGGATTCCCCCGTGTTCTCTTCCTGGCATGGCGACGTTTGTCAGTACAACCAAGCCCAACTTCAAGGTGACGAGCACACGAGACCCTTCCCCGCTCATCAGCTACCACACCGATGGCTGGACGCCGACCTACAACCAGAACTCTCTCGTGTCCACGCCAGGCACTCACACACATGAAGTGCGCGCGAGTGTCATTATGAAAACCTCTGACATCACTTCCTCTTGACCTAACACGTGGGAGTAGCATCACTGCATCCAGTCCATATGAAAGACAGAAAATGTTTGTTTTCTCCGTCAGAGCCATGTGGGGCCTAAAAAGGGACAAACCTCCAAAAATTAGATTTTTCCTAATATCTGTCTGGGCCAACATTTTCTCTGTTTTCTTTCCTTTCATTTGAGGAAATCATTGACTTGTGCACAAAGTGATGAGCACTTAAGGTCACTTTCTACTTCCTGCACGTCTTCCTGATGTAAAAATTAACTTCAATGTGTGGAGGACTTGCAGACCTATGTGCAGTATCAAATTTAGGAGCAAGTGCACCGTAGCATACCACTGCAAAACACCATGTGCTCAGCCATGGACACTGTGTGTCGCTGGTTGATGGTTTTCCCCGCTGCTTCGTGGTAACACTTGAGTAAACGCCAGTGAAGGAATTTCACTACTTTTACCTTTGAAAGCAAAATTAGCTTTTACTTCTCAGAAGTTCTTCAAGATTTTATTGTGTATATGAATAGGTTTGTTCTTTGTTTAAAGTCCGTTAACTCCAAGAGAGTGGAGCTGGTGTTTGAGGGCAGGATGCCTGCCAAGCACGAAGCAAAAAGCAAAAATGGTAAATAAATAAATAAAAATTTAAAAAGCTAAAATATGTAGCCAAATGGGCGCCATGCCCAAGTAAAGTCTTTATGTTTGCATCATCTTATTCATCCGCTGTGTTGTGATTTTAAGATGTCCAGTCAACAGTCATTATCATGACACAGTGTGAGCTCAAGTGTTGCCGTGAAAGGCTCTGCTGGGGACACATGGTTAGACTACTTGTGTTCATAAGCAGTGACTCAAAAATTCTTCTGTTTTGGCGAAGCAGGCGTCAATCACAGGCCTGTTTTTATCTGTGTAGAGGACGACAATCATCGTGAGGCCCTGCAGGCGTGTGTCTGTCTGTCTGTCTGTCGACCTCAGGACAAAGTACTCACCAACACACACACACACACACACACACACACACACACACACACACCTCTCCCTACTGGTATTAATAATGTAAATAGCTGATTCTTGTGTATGCCTGCACGCTGCTTCAGCACCTTACAGACAGCACTGTTGTGTACATGTGCGTTGGGGTGTGTGACTGTGTGAGAGAGAGTGGGGTGTAGGGGTGGGATAGCTGTTATTGATTGCGTGTGCCTTTTGATAGCGTAGCTGGATTCAAACTATGTGTGCTTTAGCCTGCTGCTGACACATGCAGGGAGGCAGGTAGCACTGCCACAGGAAGCATGGAGGGATGAGGAAGTGGTCGGCACTGCAAAGGTTTAAATTCCTTGTGTTGGAGGAGTTTCTTAAAGCAGACCTGTTAAGTACAAATCATAGGAAGATTGCCCTGACGTGGTCATCTTAGAGCGACCAACCACCCATCGATCCCAGCTTTTGTTTTTATGCAGCCGATCAGAAGAAAGAGCATAAACTGAGGGGCTGCACCAAGAGAAAAGATTATTTTAATCTATGAATTAAACTATGAATCATGCCAAGTTACTCATAGAGTACAAGGATAAAAAGATGGAGCTGAACACGAGCCTATTAAGCTGAGTGAATGACCTCCTCAGCATTCCAGTGCTCAGCTCCGTCCTGTTTTCCTGTGATGCCCAACACTAGCCTGACTGCGTTAACAGTAGTCTGCACATCGTACTCCCCACAACCTGTAACACAATGACTCCGAGCTGCTGGAATGCAAAAAGTCGACAGAAGGATGAACTGCAATCCCAGCTGTTTATATCAAGTCCCGTGGAGAATCACCAGCCCCTGACTCGCAGGCTGCGGGGAGTATGTTTTCAGTGTGCAAGATGTGTTGGCAGCTAGCAGGCTAAAGCACAGCTCAGCAGAGCTCAAGTAGGAAAACAGTAGGGAAAGTAGGTGACTTGTTATGCTTTTTATTTTCTAAACCAAACTCCTGGAGAATTTTAACACTGGACGCACATTAACGATCGTGGTGAATTTATTTATGGTTCTCGCTGAATCACAGAGCTCTGGGCTTCCTCGATAGCAAATCTTTGATGTGCCTTTATTGCCAGAGCGCCACAAACTCACAGTGACAGTCTTCAGTTCAAGGGTGACATTTAAAGCCTTTTATTACTACTTATCACTCTCTTTTTTTCCTACAGCCATAACAAACATGTTTTTTTATTTTGAACCTTGTGGGTTTTTAAAATTGTAATTTTCAGCCATTTGGTCGCAACCTTCAAAGGCAGAATAAAGATGCATAGCAGTCGCGATGAATTGTTTGAGACATGTGAATGTGCCATATTAACTGGACTGCTGTTTTTATAGTGATCTTTCCATTCTCTAGCTCCAGTTTGTCTTCTGGTCTGACATCACTTCCCTTTTTTGTATTGCCTTAACAAAAACAAAACAACAACCTGACCAGGTTTAAGTACCCAAAGTGCACTTTTCTGTCGTGTTTATTTCTGCTCTCGCAATGTCGTTACAACCAAAAAGTCAGCAATGAGTGTTGATGGCATGGTATCGTGCGTTTTGCTAATCTTTTCGTTTGTTTATTTTTATGCTTTCATGTGATTCAGAGCCACTGATAACTCAAAGCAGGGGTGTGTCTTATTCTTTTGCACTTAGCTTATTACCATAAAGGGCAACCGTGAGTTCAAACGAGAGAAAGAAAGGAAAAAAACCCAGATCATTGTTCTGCTTCTTGCAATGCAGCAAAGAGGCTTTCACCACAACCTGTCACCACTGTTTCTTGTCTGTACATTATGACTTCATGTGAATCACCACGTAAATCTGAATAAAAACTTTTTTTGTATTTATATAGGCTGTTTGGCCTCATTCACGACCTGTAAAAGAAATTTAAACTGCTGAAAGTTTATCACAGAGCTCAGAGTCCAGTTTTTACAGCTTCCCAGACACAGGCCCTGTAAATATGTATTGCTGTTAAGATAAGAGCGTCCAGTAAAAACAAAGTTCTCTGAAAGTGAGGACTTTCCTCAGTAACCAAAAAAAGGCAGAGCCAAAGTTGGCTCCGAGCTCAGCTTCTGAGATAAGAATTAAAGCTTTGCTGCTGACTTGTGCAAGTAGGGACATGCAATGACTGCATCCGAGTAACAGGCAGAGTGTGTTCTGAGTGGAAAATACTCTGTGTGTTGCGGTTTAGGCTTTTTTGTCAGAGCAGCAGATGTTTGCTTTGTTTTACACACACAGCTCATTCAGTTGAGCCAGAGCACTAACTGCCCTTTCAGTTTCAGTTGCAGTTCTCAGTTCTCATTTTACTTCCTGTTTGTTTCCGAGACCTCGCTTCATGGCCGGCCAGTCACCCTGACAACTGCTAACCGCATTCCTTTATAGTAAACAGGCCTTTAGTGTTGTGTGTCCACAGGCCTTATTTCACCAGCTGCTCTGTGTCTGCACAGCTCTGCTGCTCTTGCTTTTCTTCAGAAGAGGCAACAGAAGGAATTCACTTCAGCTGTGCAGTAGCTCATTCTTTGCTCTCAGCAAAACCAGATTAGATTCCCTGTAATGAAGAGAAGCAAAATATTAACCAAAAGCAAATAACTAAAATCAAAAGTCATAAAAACTGTGTATGTGTTCACATAACATGTAAATGTTTGTGCTGCGTCATCATAGGAAGGAAAACACACCACTATGATTACGCACGGATGCCACCTGCTGTTCAAAGGCAGAACAGCAGCTGTATTTCTCTTACACAAAGGCTTTCAGTAAAAACCTCCACAGTACTGTGCAAAAATCTTGAGCCTACCTCAACATTTGTAAAGTTTTTCTGAAAAGTGACATTTAAACAGGCTCCTTTATCTGCTGAAATATTTTCACGTGAACTGGATAAAACCAGGCTCAAAATTCTCTCCTTTATTTCCTTTAGTTTCTTTATTGGGACATTTAGATCAAAGGTTCTAATGATGGGCTTTTTTTTTTTTTTTTTTTTTAAATCAGCCACAGATTTACATAAATATTGTGAACAGTCTGAAAAGTCAGTTTTCTGCCATCCTGTAGATAACATAAACACACCCCTCAGCAAAACCCTCCACAATATAGACAGCAAACAAACTGGGGCCTTTATTCACACAGGTCTCTCAGAGAGCTCATGGAACAGCCTAGAAATATTAGCATGAAGTTTTAGGAAAACTCTCCCAGCAGCTCAAAGCAAGAAAAACTATCATTGTTAACTCAGTGCAGAGGTGTAGTGGACTCTGCTGTTAGGGCGATCGTGGCTCAAGAGTTGGGTGTTCATCTTGTAATCGGAAGGTTGCCGGTTCAAGCCCCGGCTCGGACAGTCTTGGTCGTTGTGTCCTTGGGCAAGACACTTAACCTACCGCCTACTGGTAATGGCCAGAGGGCGCCGATGGCGCAATATGGCAGCCTCGCTTCTGTCAGTCTGCCCCAGGCAGCTGTGGCTACAACTGTAGCTGCCTCCACCAGTGTGTGAGAGTGAATGAATAGTGGAATTGTAAAGCGCTTTGAGGGCCCCGAAAAGCGCTATATAAATGCAATCCATTATTATTTGACACATTCTTTAAAAATGTGAGTGGTTGGTGTTCAAGTTCAATTCAATTTTATTTATATAGCGTCAAATTACAAGAAAAGTCGCCTCAAGGCGCTTTATAGATACAGAGGAAAAACCCAACAATCATGACCCCCTATGAGCAAGCACTTTGGCGACAGTGGGAAGGAAAAACTCCCTTTTAACAGGAAGAAACCTCCAGCAGAACCAGGCTCAGGGAGGGGCGGCCATCTGCTGTGATTGGTTGGGGTGAGAGAAGGAAGACAGGATAAAAGACATGCTGTGGAAGAGAGACAGAGATTAATAACAGATATGATTCAATGCAGAGAGGTCTGTTAACACATAGTGAGTGAGAAAGGTGACTGGAAAGGAAAAACTCAATGCATCATGGGAATCCCCTGGCAGCCTACATCTATTGCAGCATAACTAAGGGAGGATTCAGGGTCACCTGGTCCAGCCCTAACTATATGCTTTAGCAAAAAGGAAAGTTTGAAGCCTAATCTTGAAAGTAGAGATAGTGTCTGTCTCCCGAATCCAAACTGGAAGCTGGTTCCACAGAAGAGGGGCCTGAAAACTGAAGGCTCTGCCTCCCATTCTACTTTTAAATACTCTAGGAACAACAAGTAAGCCTGCAGTGCGAGAGCGAAGTGCTCTAATAAGGTGATATGGCACTACAAGGTCATTAACAAAAATGGGACCTGATTATTTAAGACCTTGTATGTGAGGAGCAGGATTTTGAATTCAATTCTGGATTTAACAGGAAGCCAATGAAGGGAAGCCAAAACAGGAGAAATATGCTCTCTCTTTCTAGTCCCTGTCAGTACTCTTGCTGCAGCATTTTGGATTAGCTGAAGGCTTTTCAGTGAGTTTTTAGGACTTCCTGATAATAATGAATTACAGTAGTCCAGCCTGGAAGTAATAAATGCATGAACTAGTTTTTCAGCGTCACTCTGAGACAGGATATTTCTAATTTTAGAGATGTTGCGCAAATGGAGGAAAGCAGTCTTACATATTTGTTTAATATGTGCGTTGAAGGACATGTCCTGGTCAAAAATTACTCCAAGGTTCCTCACAGCGTTACTGGAGGCCAAGGTAATGCCATCCAGAGTAAGAATCTGGTTAGATATCATATTTCTAAGATTTTCAGGGCCGAGTACAATAACCTCAGTTTGATCTGAATTAATTTGCAGAAAGTTAGTGGCCATCCAGGTCTTTATGTCTTTAAGACATTCCTGCAGTTTAACTAATTGATGTGTGTTACCTGGCTTCATAGATAGATAAAGCTGGGTGTCATCAGCATAGCAGTGACAATTTATGCTATGTCTTCTAATGATAATAATAGATTGGATTTATATAGCGCTTTTCAAGGCACCCAAAGCGCTTTACAATACCACTATTCATTCACTCTCGCATTCACACACTGGTGGAGGCAAGCTACAGTTGTAGCCACAGCTGCCCTGGGGCAGACTGACAGAAGCGAGGCTGCCATATTGCGCCATCGGCCCCTCTGGCCATCTGAGACAGGATATTTCTAATTTTAGAGAAGTTGCGCAAATGGTAGGCAGTAGGTGAAGTGTCTTGCCCAAGGACACAATGACCAGGACAGAGAGTACGGGGATCGAACCGGCGACCTTCCGGTTACAGATGCGCTTCCCAACCCCCTGAGCCACGGTCGCCCAAGGGAAGTATGTATAATGTAAACAGAATTGGTCCTAGCACTAAACCCTGTGAAATTCCATAATTAACCTCAGTGTGTGAAGAGGACTCTCCATTTACATGCACAAATTGGAGTCTATTGGATAGATATGATACAAACCACTGCAGCACAGTACCTGTAATACCTACAGCGTGCTGTAATCGCTCTAATAGGATATTATGGTCAACAGTATTGAATGCTGCACTAAGGTCTAGCAGGACAAGCACAGAGATGAGTCCACTGTCAGAGGCCATAAGAAGATCATTTGTAACCTTCACTAAAGCTGTTTCTGTGCTGTGATGAGCTCTGAAACCTGACTGAAACTCTTCAAATAAGCCATTCCTCTGTAGATGATCTGTTAGCTGTTTGACAACTGCTCTTTCAAGGATTTTTGATATGAAAGGAAGGTTGGAGATTGGCCTATAATTAGCTAAGACAGAATCTATAGAAGCAGACTAAAGGATGGAAAAGCTGCAGATACACATGTGCATACTGCAGTTTTGTAGTGGTTAGCACGGCTTCATAATGCACATAACTGTGTATCCTAATGATACTTGATGTGAACCACCCATAGTGTCGATGTGATTTGGCGCCATATCAATAAAACTGAACTGAATTATGTTTGATTTATGTTTCATGTATATAGCACCAAATCACAACAACAGTCGCCTCAAGACGCTTTATTATTGGAAGATGCTTTATTATTGGAAGGCAAAGACACTCCAATAATAAAGAAAAACTCCAACAATCATATGACCCCCTATGAGAAAGCACTTTGGCGACAGTGGGAAGGAAAAACTCCCTTTTAACAGGAAGAAACCTCCGGCAGAACCAGGCACAGGGAGGGGCGGGGCCATCTGCTGCGACTGGTTGGGGTTGTTGTGCTGTTTATACAATTTTATAGACTTTGTCTCAGTCCATTTGAACAGGCTCTGGCTTAGAGAAGGCCACAACAGCTGTTTGGACCTTTTTGTCCTTCTTTTACACTTAAAGTGAACCAGTTTACCATCTGCAACATCAAAAACACGCTCTTAGCATTAATTAGCATACGTTAAATATAGATTGTGTTGATGCATGCTCAGCTATCCAGGTAGGTAAATCTCAAAAAGGTTGATTCTATTCATCTGGATGTAGCATTTTCAGTGGGAGTGACAAAACATTTCTCCCACTGAAAACGCTACGTCCAGATGAACAGAATCAACCTTTTGGGGTTAAATGTAGATTGTTTTGCACTGAGACATTCTGTGTTACAACTTTGCTTTGCATTGGATCAAAATATTTTAAAATTTATTCAATAAAACTTTAAATTACATTTTTTTTGTCTCTTTCTTGTTTTTTTAAATGCGTCTGAAGATCATACTTTTAAAGAAGTAAAATCTTGTCTCTTCCACACTGTCTTCATTCAGAAAGTGCTTTACAAACAAACAAAAAGACAAACAGTATGTCTAACAGGTGCATTTTCCAGCATACTTGGTTTCTTAACCCTTTATTTACCATGGGCCTGCTGGCGAGCCCATTTTACAAGCACTCTTTAAATGACCAATACTTCGTCATCGTTTATGCTAGGGAGAAAATGTTAACGGTTTTGAAAAGAAGAG